GGAATGAATGAATGAATGAATGAATAAATAATTTATTATTATTATTATTATTATTATTATTATTATTATTATTAGTGGCCTGCCTTCAAGCAGAGACTTCACTTTTGGTCTGGGCCACACGGTGCTTCCGTGTCCAGGGGTGGAGCTGTCCCCAGTCGCCAGTTTCCAACACGGGACAGCATGTGACCGGAAAACCGATCGCGTTTTTCGCTTTGTGGGTGCTGTGACTTATTCTGGAGCCAGCCAGTCGTTAGAGCCTGGTGTGGCACTGTTGACATTTCTCTCCACCACAAAGCTGGCGATAAATAAAATGTCAAGTAGATAGATCTCTCTCTTTTCCCCAGGGACACACAAATCTATATCCCACTTTCCGCTGGCTGGCAACGCGTCCAGGGACTGCATGCCAGTGGCAAGTGGAACAAGAAATGCAAATATTTTTGGCAAAGTTTTTTCATTAGGTTTTCCCAAAAAAATTCACACGTACATTTCAATATATGTGAGTGGAAAGAAGCAAAACTGACGGGAAGAGTTAGAGGAGTATTGAACCAGAAAATATTTGGAGAATGGAGAATATTTAAGGATTATATAAGATCATATGGTACCAATCACACCATATTAGCAGAACTTGAGTGATACTTGTAAACACAACAAACACCGTTTGTGGAGTAGACGGGAACAATATTAAAGAATATAAAACTGTGCGGAAGAAACGACGACAGTATAAACAGTACAATGAGAATGATTGGAAGACTCGTTTTGTTAGAAGTCTTTTTTATTTAAGTGTTTAATTAAGTATTAATTAGGTAGATTATTATTATTTATGTACGTAAATTTGCTTTTTCTTCTTTCTTTTTTCTGTATTTTCTTCCTTTCTTCTTTCTTAATTGTTTTTCCTTTAATTTTCTTTTCGTAGTGTCGTTGTTGTTTAGTCGTTTAGTCATGTCCAAACTCTTCGTATGAGATTGTAAATTCTTTGTATGTGTAATTTAAATTAATAAAGATTATTTTTTTTAAAAAAAGGAAAGAAGGAAGGAACAGGTCCCTGCCCCTAGGAGCCTACAGCCTCTCTGGGTTTCGTTTGGGTTATAATCTACGTTGTAACTTGATGAAAAGTGTCGATTTGCATGGAACGATGAGAACCGAGGCTCTGAACGAATGACTTGCAAAATACCCGCAACCGAGTTTTATGCTGACACCCCGATCATAATCTGCCAGGGCTAGCGTTCTGCTTAGACACCGAGGAAACATCCCATTGGTCCTTGCAGGTGTCAAGCCCGGCCTGCTGCCATGGAAACCAAACTTTCCCCTCCTGCCTTAGTCTCCATGGTGACAACGGAATTTGAAAAAAGGGGATGCTGAGAGCTGGCCAGTCACATCAATGCAAGAGGGGCAGCCTATGGGAATATTTGAGAATCTCGCACCCCCCCTCTTCTGTTCACGTGGAATGAGAGAGAGGCTGGGAAGCCTGTTTCAAAATAGTATTTTACGGGGTGGGGGAATTGAAAGCTGGGAAAGGAGTTCAGAGTGACGTACCTAGTTCTCCCCTTTCTCGTTTAATCTCCCACAACAACCCTGTGAGGTAGGCCAGGCTGAGAGGTCAACCAGCGAGCTTCATGGCAGAGGGGGGATTCGGACCCAGGGAGAAATTAAAAGACACCTGCTTCTTGGGAGAAAAGCAATGACAAACCTAGGTAAAGCAGCCGCTGGGTGACTTTGGGCTAGTCACACTTCTTTGAAGTCTCTCAGCCCCACTCACCCCACAGAGTGTTTGTTGTGGGGGAGGAAGGGAAAGGAGAATGTTAGCCGCTTTGAGACTCCTTAAAGGGAGTGAAAGGCGGGATATCAAATCCAAACTCCTCCTCTTCTTCTTCTTCTTCTTCTTCTTCTTCGTCTTCGTCTTCGTCTTCTTCTTCTAAAGGTAAAGGGACCCCTGACGATTAGGTCCAGTAATGACCGACTCTGGGGTTGGGGCGCTCATCTCGCTTTATTGGCCGAAGGAGCCGGCGTTTGTCCACAGATAGCTTCCGGGTCATGTGGCCAGCATGACTAAGCTGCTTCTGGCAAACCAGAGCAGCGCACGGAAACGCCGTTTACGTTCCCGAAGGAGCGGTACCTATTTATCTACTTGCACTTTGACGTGCTTTTGAACTGCTAGGTTGGGAGGAGCTGGGACCGAGCAACGGGAGCTCACCCCGTCGCGGGGATTCGAACCGCCGACCTTCTGAGTCGGCAAGTCGGCAAGTCCCAGGCTCTGTGGTTTAACCCACAGCACCACCCGTGTCCCTTATGACAAACCTAGACAAAGGTCCATATAGTTAAATCTATGGTTTTCCCAGTAGTGATGTATGGAAGTGAGAGCTGGACCATAAAGAAGGCTGATTGCCGGAGAACGGATGCTTTTGAATTCTGGTGCTGGAGGAGACTCTTGAGAGTCCCCCGGACTGCAAGAAGATCAAACCTCTCCATTCTGAAGGAAATCAGCCCTGAGGGCTCACTGGAAGGACAGATCCTGAAGCTGAGGCTCCAATACTTTGGCCACCTCATGAGAAGAGAAGACTCCCTGGAAAAGACCCTGATGTTGGGAAAGATTGAGGACGCAAGGAGAAGGGGACGACAGAGGACGAGATGGTGGGACAGTGTTCTCGAAGCTACCAACATGAGTCTGACCAAACTGCGGGAGGCAGTGGAAGACAGGAGTGTCTGGTCCAGGGGGTCACGAAGAGTCGGACACGACTAAACGACTAAACATCAACAACTCCCAGGTCCAAGTCCCACACTCTGAACCACGATGCCACAATGGCTCTCACCTTGCCACCACTCATGGTTGGGGCTCCTTCCCTTTGGAGAGTCCTGGGTTCGAATTTCGCTATTACCATTTTAATTCAGAGCTCCCAAGGACTGCACTGCTCTAGCAAGGCAGCAAGGCCACCTGCCTCTGTGTGTGTATGTTTGTGTGTGTGTGTGTGTGTGTGTGTCTGTGTATTCAAGCGCTTGCTTGGCCTCGCTGCGTCTCCCTGCTATTTCCCTTCCTTCCAGCTCTTGCAAACGAGGTCATTTCCATCGCGATCCCTTGATTGAATCTGACGCCAAGGCCAGCTCCCAGTCTGCCTCTGCTTTCCACAGAGAGTCGCTCCCGAAAGCTTCTTAACCACCAGCTCTTTCCTTGCTGCAACTTAAAATCCATTTGCAATAAGTAATTTGGCGCCCTTTATCGCACAACCACCCTGCGAGGTGGGGCAGGGGTGCTAGGAATCTCTGCTGGTCACAAAAGTGTTGAACAATGATTGTAAAATATTGTCTAAAGTGTATAAATTGCTGCTGGAATGTCATTTGAAAGATGAAGAGGTCAAGTCGGTTACGATACATTGGGCCAAGGATTTTGGGTATAACATACAGCTAAAAGAGTGGGAAAGGATTAAAGGAAGGATTAAAATTTACCGCATGCAATGCTTTGAAAGAAAACGTGATGAAAATGATGTACAGATGGTGTATTACACCAATGAAATTAGCTAAAATGTATAAAGCAAATAACAAATGTTGGAAATGTAAAGAAAAAGAACTATCTTTTTATCACATGTGGTGGGAATGTAAGAAAGTGAAAAGCTTCTGGGAAATGATATATAATGAGATGAAAAAGATGTTGAAATATACATGTATAAAAAAAAAACCAGAAGCATTTCTACTTGGCATTGTAGGGGAGGATATTAATAGACAGGATAATAAACTGTTTTTATATGCAATAACGGCAGCTGTACTATTGGCACAGAAATGGAAACTCGAAGAATTACTGACAAAAGAGGAATGGCAGTCGAAATTAATGGACTATTCAGAATTAGACAAGATGACAGGAAGGATTTGAAACCTGCGGGATTAAAGATTCTCAGAGGACCGGAGTAAACATGTGAACTATCTGAAAAGCAATTGTAATCAACAGATTACGCAAGAAGTTTTGTAAGGAGGACTGTGTGAAATATTGCAGAGAAAAGTATGAAGAGAACTCTTAGTGAAGGATTATTAAAAGGAATAGTGAAATTAATGAAATGCAGATTAAGGGATAAAGATGGAAAAACCTTCAGATGTGGTTGATGGAAGTCCAAAACACTGAAGAAGATGAGAAAATATGTTGTATGTGGGTTTTTTTGGAAATTCCATGTAAAAATTAATAAATATATATATAGGTAAAGGGACCCCTGACCATTAGGTCCAGTCGTGGCCGACTCTGGGGTTGCGCGCTCATCTCGCTTTATTGGCCGAGGGAGCCGGCGTACAGCTTCCGGGTCATGTGGCCAGCATGACTAAGCCGCTTCTGGTGAACCAGAGCAGCGCACGGAAATGCCGTTTACCTTCCTGCCAGAGCGGTACCTATTGATCTACTTGCACTTTGAGGTGCTTTCGAACTGCTAGGTTGGCAGGAGCAGGGACCGAGCAACGGGAGCTCACCCCTTCACGGGGATTTGAACCGCCAACCTTCTGATCAGCAAGTCCTAGGCTCTGTGGTTTAACCCCCAGCGCCACCCGCATCCCTTAATATATATATATGAAGCTCTGCTGGTCCATTGACGCGCTGATTCTCTGTCTGAATCATTGGCCAGTCAGCTGCCACCCCAATCCTGACCTAGGAGGTTCTCCCAATGTTCTTATGACCTGGTTAGGGGTGTCAAAGATTCTCCCCTGGAGGGCAGAATTGGGCCTGCAGAGATTCTGGCATGCGTGCCAAGACATGCCCTGTCCTGCGGGCAACTGCATGCGCCACTGAACATGCCAGGCACGTCAGCCGCCTCTGGGCACGAACGACAACATTGGGGAGGGGGAGGCACAGAGCAGGGAGAACAGAGACCATCGCTGACTGTTCAGTTTAATGGAAAGAAAAGCCCCCAAGGCAGCAGCAGCCGCTCAGCTCCAAGAAGAATTCGCTCAGCGAATGCACTGGGTTATGTAAGCTCTTTGCACATATAGATTTAGAGCAGTCTCAGCCAACCTGAGGACGTTTGGACCCAGGCACCTGGCATAGCTCGGCTGGTAAGAGCATGAGACTCTTAATCTCATGGTCACGGGTTCAAATCTCACATTGGGTTGGACTAGATGATCCCTAAACAGCCTCAGTCCAGTATACCTGAAGGAGCGTCTCCACCCCCACCGTTCTACCCGGACACTGAGGTCCAGCTCTGAGGGCCTTCTGGCGGTTCCCTCATTGCGAGACATGAGGTTACAGGGAACCAGGCAGAGGGCCTTCTCGGTGGTGGCTCCCGCCCTGTGGAACTCCCTCCCACCAGATGTCAAAGAGAAGAACAACTACCAGACTTTTAGAAGACATCTGAAGGCAGCCCTGTTTGTTGTTGTTTAGTCGTTTAGTCGTGTCCGACTCTTCGTGACCCCCTGGACCAGAGCACACCAGGCACTCCTGTCTTCCACTGCCTCCCGCAGTTTGGTCAGACTCATGTTTGTAGCTTCGAGCCCTGTTTAGGGAAGCTTTTAATGCTTGATGTATTACAGTATTTTAATAATATTTTAATATTTTTTTGGAAGCCACCCAGAGTGGCTGGGTATAAATAATAAATTATTATTATTATTATTATTATTATTATTATTATTATTACTATTACTATTATTATTATACTTGTGGTCCCTTGCAGCACCACGGTTCTGGGACTCTTATCGGCCCCAGGAAGCGGCTAGGAATCACAGGTAGGGAGACCTGCGGCTGCACTCTATTATTTATTTATTCATTCATTCATTCATTCATTCATTCATTCCAGGTAGAACGATGGGGGTGGAGACGCTCCTTCAGAGCCTGCTTGGTGAGCTTGCAAGACTGGGGCAACCCAGTCAGATGGGTGGGGTACAAATAAAATCATCATCATCATCATCATCATCATCTAGGTGGCGCCCATAAGGACGAGATGGGCCGATTCAGCACTGTGCTGGGCCCGGGAGTAACCCGTGAAACGTGGTCCATGTCCAGTCCAGAATCCAAAGGTTCTGCTAGAAGTCAGTCCGACAGGGCCAAGGCAGGACACGAGGCAGGAAACCAGGCAAGGGCAGGTACAGGATCTCAGGCAGGATCTGGCATACAGCAATGTTGCTCCCGCAACTCGGGGCGGGGTCCCACAGCCTTTTATCTTTGTTGGGGTAGCAGCCGGTCCTGATCCCCCGGCGACTCACCTCCCTGTCTCGCCCAGAGGCGAGCACTCCTCCTGCAAGGACTCAGGTCTCTCCTTCTCTCAGACCTCAGTCTCTGCAGCTCGGGAGACGTCAGTGGGTTACTTGGACTACTGCAATGCTCTCTATGTGGGGCTACCTTTGAAGGTGACCCGGAAACTACAACTAATCCAGAATGTGGAAGCTAAACTGGTGACTGGGAGCGGCCGCCGAAACCACCTAACACTGGTCCTGAAAGACCCACATTGGCTCCCAGTAAAAGCTTCTTTAGGGAAGATTCAATGTTTAACAGACCACTGTATTTTAATACTTTGTTGGAAGCCGCCCAGAGTGGCTGGGGAAACCCAGCCAGATATAATATAATATAAATAATAAATTCTATTCCATTCTATTCTATAAGCTTCCAGAAGATTTATTGAACCAGTATCTTAAACTGTGAGTACACCATAGATCTAGAGTCTGTGGCTTCATTTAATCCCCCTTCCTAGTGATTCCTTCATTTGTTTGCTACCGTTGAGCCACTGTTTGCCATTACCCTCCAAAAACCTCTTCCATGGAAGGCGAGAGTCGGACACAGGAAGCCGCTGTACACAGGATCAGACCACGTGCTCAACCAAAGGAGAACTGCTCCAGAAGCTCTGCAAATGCCATCTTGGCAGTCGAGATAACCCCACCATTAATTGCTAGTTGTTGTAGCAATGAGCTCATCTATGTTTAGATTCACTTGCTCTGATATCAGCTAATTTGCTTTGATGCTCTCCTTATCTGCGGGCTCAAGGGACTGGGCTCTCAGCCCAGAAAGAGGAGCTATCTGTAAGGTCTGAGCATTTTCCACCTACGCCTTCATCTGGGCAGGTGAAATGAGGTTTGCTGTTTTGTGTATAATGTAGGCACGTTGGCTTGGGTGTGGACAAGCCATCTCCTTGCTGCGGTGTCCGTCCCAGGTCTGCAAAGGCTGGGAGACCTGGCAGGCTGCTTTGCTCCAAGTCTACACCTTTCTTTAATAAAACATTCGAACGGGCCATTCTGATGTTTTGACATCCTCCTTTGGTATCCTTGCACCCAGCCACTCCTGGGAGAGCTACTTTGCGGTTGGAGGATGGGTGGCGGCTAACAGATTGAGGTTGAATCCTGACAAGACAGAAGGACCATTTTGGGGGGGGCAGGAGGCGGGCAGGTGTGGGGGACTCCCTGGTCCTGAATGGGGTCACCGTGCCCCTGAAGGACCAGGTGTGCAGCCTGGGAGTCATTCTGGACTCACAGCTGTCCATGGAGGCGCAGGTCAATTCTGTGTCCAGGGCAGCTGTCTCCCAGCTCCATCTGGTACGCAGGATGAGACCCTACCTGCCTGCGTACTGTCTCGCCAGAGTGGCGCATGCTCTGGTTATCTCCCGCTTGGACTACTGCAACGCGCTCTACGTGGGGCTACCTTTGAAGGTGACCCAGAAACTACAACTAATCCAGAATGCGGCAGCCAGACTGGTGACTGGGAGCGGCCGCCGAGACCACATAACACTGGTACTGAAAGACCTGCATTGGCTCCCAGTACGTTTCTGAGCACAATTCAAAGCATTGTTGCTTACATTTAAAGCCCTAAACGGCCTTGGTCCAGTATACCTGAAGGAGCGTCTCCACTTCTATCGTTCTGCCCGGACACTGAGGTCCAGCTCTGAGGGCCTTCTGGCGGTTCCCTCCCTGCGAGAAGCCAAGGGAACCAGGCAGAGGGCCTTCTCGGTGGTGGCGCCCGCCCTGTGGAACGCCCTCCCACCAGATGTCAAAGAGAAAAATAACTACCAAACTTTTAGAAGGCATCTGAAGGCAGCCCTGTTTAGGATTGCTTTTAATGTTTAATAGGTTATTGCATTTTATTGTTTTGTTGGAAGCCGCCCAGAGTGGCTGGGGAAACCCAGCCAGATGGGCGGAGTATAAATAAATTATTCTTATTCTTATTCTAATAAATGGCAACTAGGCATTCCGTTTTGGCAACTGTAGCCCTGGTTTAAGGGAGCCATTTGGCGCCTAGCTGATATATATATATACACTGCCTGCCGCCTGGGAGACCAAAAGGCTTCTTTCAACACACGGATTCCGAAGCAACTCTCTTTCTTTCATCAGTCAGGCCAGGAGAAGAACAGACAGCCGAAAGTGTGACCTGTACTGTACAATAGACCGTTTATTCAAATGCACATCTATATACATAGATGAAGAGGACCCCTCCATGCGTCCAGAGATGCTCCCGGCCACTTCTCTTCAGAGCATCGCCAAGGTGGCTGTTGACGAGGACAGGCAGAATCCCTCCCTCCCAGCAGTTAATCCGGCAACTGCCCTTGTGAGCGTGTGTGTGTCTCTTGTTCTCCCTATTTTGCCATCTCTTCAGCCACCGCCTTGCCCATCTTGTCTTTGAGGTAGGCTGTCTTCTGCCACTCTGACTTCAGGTCAAGCCATTCGTAATAGGGAACCTGCAACAGGTGGAGGGGAAGAGAGAAAGAGGAGATGATGATGATGATGATGATGATGATGATAATTTATTATTTATACCCCGCCCATCTGGCTGGGTTTCCCCAGCCACTCTGGGCGGCTTCCAACAAAGTATTAAAATACAGTAGTCTGTTAAACATTAAAAGCTTCCCTAAACAGGGCTGCCTTCAGATGTCTTCTAAAAGTCTGGTAGTTGTTCTTCTCGTGGTCATCTGCTGGGAGGGCGTTCCACAGGGCGGGTGCCACCACCAAGAAGGCCCTCTGCCTGGTTCCCTGTAACCTCACTTCTCGCAGCAAGGGAACCACCAGAAGGCCCTCGGCGCTGGATCTCAGTGTCCGGGCAGAACAATGGGGGTGGAGACACTCCTTCAGATATACTGGACCGAGGCCGTTTAGGGCTTTAAAGGTCAGCACCGACACTTTGAATTGTGCTCAGAAACTAGGCCAGGCCTCAGCTAGAAAAGCCCTGCCAGGCATTGCATCTATTCCTGGACAGAGAAGATCAGCCAAAGATTCTCATATTCATTTATGAAACATCAGTTCTGTATTTGTTCAGAATCTGTTCAGTATTCAGGCATTTCAACAGCAAGCGACATAACCCACTTAAAAGGTAAAGGTAAAGGGACCCTTGACCATTAGGTCCAGTCGTGACCGACTCTGGGGTTGCGGCGCTCATCTCGCTTTACTGGCTGAGGGAGCCGGCGTACAGCTTCCGGGTCATGAGGCCAGCATGACTAAGCCGCTTCTGGCAAACCAGAGCAGCGCACGGAAACCCCGTTTACCTTCCCGCCGGAGCGGTACCTATTTATCTACTTGCACTTTGATGTGCTTTCGAACTGCTAGGTTGGCAGGAGCAGGGACCGAGCAACGGGAGCTCACCCCATCGCGGGGATTTGAACTGCTGACCTTCTGATCGGCAAGCCCTAGGCTCTGTGGTTTAACCCACAGCGCCACCCGCGTCCCTTATAACCCAGTTAGTATCACATAATTGCACTAGAATTAAAGAGGTTTCTTTAGATATTGATAGATGGGAGTCATTAAACCCCAGTCTTTGGGGAAGAGTTCATATACGCAACTCCCTCGACTGGCTTGGCTTCCAGACTGGGTTGTGTCTGTGCGCGACGCAGCGTGTTTTCCTGATCAGAAGCGCTTCTCCGTGAGCATCTCGCAGCCACCTTGGCTTCTACGCACGTGGGGATTATCCAGAGTGGCTCTGAGCCAGTGGGGCTGGCAGGGAACGGTGCCACGGTCTACCCAGACAGCCGGCCAGCGATAATCTCTGTCCCCTTCCACCCTGGTGACTCTCAATGCCTCAACTTTCCACCCAACTTTGTACAAACAAGCGGCTGGCCGGCACCTGGAGGAATGAAAGCTGGAGGATCGGTGGGCCGTGGGAAAATGCAGCCCAAACAGATTAAGGGCTGAAACATTGATGGCCGGAGGGTTAAGCGGCCTCACACAAAAATGGTGTTCATTGGCAGGATGCAGAGACAGGGACGGGCTGCTGTCTTCAGCAGTTTTGGGAATCAGAGCAAAGCGCATGTGCTTTTTGCTTTTTTAGATAAGCCTGTGGTGACCTCAGATATGCAGATGACACAACATAGATGGAAGAAAGGGAGGAGGAATTAAATAAATAATCTTTTAATGAGGGTGAAAGAGGAGGGCGCAAAATATGGTCTGAAGCTCAACATCAAAAAAACAAAGATCATGGCCACTGGTCCCATCACCTCCTGGCAAATAGAAGGGGAAGAAATGGAGGCAGTGAGAGATTTTACTTTCTTGGGCTCCCTGATCACTGCAGATGGTGACAGCAGCCACGAAATTAAAAGACGCCTGCTTCTTGGAAGAAAAGCAATGACAAACCTAGACAGCATCTTAAAAAGCAGAGACATCACCTTGCCGACAAAGGTCCGTATAGTTCAAGCTCTGGTTTTCCCAGTAGTGATGTATGGAAGTGAGAGCTGGACCATAAAGAAGGCTGATCACTGAAGAATGGATGCTTTTGAATTCTGGTGCTGGAGGAGACTCTTGAGAGTCCCATGGACTGCAAGAAGATCAAACCTCTCCATTCTGAAGGAAATCAGCCCTGAGTGCTCACTGGAAGGACAGATCCTGAAGCTGAGGCTCCAAGACTTTGGCCACCTCAGGAGAAGAGAAGACTCCCTGGGAAAGACCCTGATGCTGGGAAAGATGGAGGGCACAAGGAGAAGGGGACGACAGAGGACGAGATGGTGGGACAGTGTTCTCAAAGCTACGAACATGAGTTTGACCAAACTGCGGGAGGCAGTGGAAGACAGGAGTGCCTGGCGTGCTCTGGTCCACGGGGTCACGAAGAGTCGGACATGACTGAATGACTACACAACAACAACAACAAGAACAAGAACAAGTGGTGACCCCTGAACTTACACATTCAAAGCACAAATTTGGGGATTGACCTGAAAGAGCATGCAAGTCCTAATCCTGTGTGTTCTGTCCTGTGTGTTCGTTGTATGGGACAATGACAATAAAGATTATCGTATCGTATTATCGTATTGTGACACGGCTCTAATCGTAGAATCACAGACTTGGAAGGGACCACAAGGGTCATCCAGTCCAACCCCCTGCCACGCAGGAATGTTTTGCCCAACGTGGGTCTCAAACCCACAACCCAGCCATTAAAGTCTCATGCTCTACCAGTCCAGGGCCCTATGATCGGCAGCCTCACACAATACATTTTTATTGACTGCGTTTATATCCCATCGTTTTCCTCCACGGGCTCAAGGCGGCGTATGTGGGTCTCCCCGCTAGCCAGGGTTGTTGCGGGGATTAAATGAGGAAGGGAAAAGACCATGTGTGCCGCCTTCAGCTGCTTGGAGAAAAAGGATAGCAATGAGTGTCAGCATCGCCCTTGAGCCAGTGCCACCAACTGGGCTCATCCACTTCAGCCCCGACTGGCCTAGGCGAGCTGGGTAGCACTTCCAGAGACCACCTTCTGCACAGGAACAGGTCAAAGTGCTGTGGACTCACAGCTTAGAGTTGTGAGCACCGGATTCACTCCCACAAGAAGACAGTCGTCGCACAGCAGAGTACGGCAGAGTCTAGAAACAACTCGGAGAGCAGCTCTGTAGAATATCTTCTTTATTCTATCTACAACTATTATACAACTATATACAGAGCTAAATAGGTCTAAGCATAAATGAATGCTGCACTGCACTGAGTGTCTGCAGCTGCTCTTAGCAGCAACCTTATCTCTACACACGATCTCTCTCTAACACTCAGTCTCTCTCTCTCTTTGATGTGAGGCTGGAGCGGAATAAGTAGAGAGCAGAAACCGCCCCTCCTCTCTGGAGAATCAGCAGAGAACATCAGCAGATTCTTGGATATGGGAGGGGTGAAATCTCCTCAATGAGCACATAGCTCAGGGTTGCGTATGTGGACAATCACCCACCTCGCCTCTATCCTCACAACAACCCTGTGAGGTAGGTTAGGGAGAGATAGTAACCCTGTATGGACGGCTGGGACAGCTCGGTAGGACATGAGACTTTCAATCTCAGGGTTGTGGGTCTGAGCCCCACATTGGGCAAAAGATTCCTGCAATGCAGGGGGCTGGGCTAAATGACCCACATAATCCCTTCCAACTCTATGATTCTACAGTTTGAATCCATCACATAAGAACAAGACTCTAAAATTGCTCTGATCTGCTCTGTCTCACACACAGCTCCTGCCATCCTTCAAATAATAGTAATAATGATTTTTTATTCATATCCCGCCCTCCCCAGCTGAAGCCGGGCTCAGAGCGGCTAACAACAATAAAAGTAACACAGCATTCTAAAATCCGTTCATTCTAAAATCAATTCAAAATCAAATTAATGGCAGCCATTGGGCTAGAGTTCTGTGAGGAGTGCCAAAGGAGGAGGTCAGACTGTGCCTTGGCCAAAGGCCTGGTGGAACAGCTCCGTCTTGCAGGCCCCACGGAAAGATGTCAAGTTCCGCAGGGCCCTAGTCTCTTGTGAGAGCGTTCCACCAGATCAGGGCCACGGCTGAAAAAGCCCTGGCTCTGGTTGAGGCCAGCCTAACCTCTCTGTGGCCTGGGACCTTCAAGATTTTTTTATTTGAAGACTGTAAGGTCCTCCGTGGGACATACCAGGAGAGGCGGTCCCGTAGGTACGAGGGTCCTGGGCCGTATAGGGCTTTAAAGGTTAAAACCAGCACCTTGAACCTGATCCTGTACTCCACCGGGAGCCAGTGCAGCTGGTATAGCACCGGGTGAATGTGATCTCGCAGCAAGGACCCCGTAAGGAGTCTCGCTGCAGCATTCTGCACCCGCTGGAGTTTCTGGGTCAGTCTCAAGGGCAGCCCCACGTAGAGCGAGTTACAATAATCAAGTCTGGAGGTGACCGTCGCGTGGATCACAGTGGCTAGGTCAGGGCGAGAGAGGTAAGGAGCCAACTGCTTAGCTTGGCGGAGATGAAAAAATGCCGCCTTTGTTGTAGCTGCAATCTGCGCCTCCATGGAAAGGGAGGTGGCAAAGATTACACCCAAAGTAGGAGAAGGGGTAAAGCAGTCTTCTTTGCAAGACTGGAGTCAATTTATCCACAACCGCCTTTGCCAACCAGGTGCCCTCGAGTTGTTCTGGACTGCAACTCCAAAGAGGACCAGCCAGCACGGCTGTGGTGCGCTGCTGGGGGCACCAAGTTGGCAAAGGCTGATCTGCAAAAAGCAGACTCACTCTCTTACACACAGAATCAAAGGGAAGGCAGTTCAGAGCTCAGTCAAGGCTATACAGAGCAAGCAGGGCCTGTAGGAGGGTGCCTCGCCTGGGCTCCCCCTCCCCTCCTGGCCCCCAACGGGGGGGGGGGGGAAGGCAGCAACTGCGGCTGCATCCGACATCTCTCCACCCCCCACCCCCTTTGCCCTTTCCTCCAAGCTGCCGGAGAGCAGAGCAGGGGGTGCCGAGGACTGCAGAGCTATAATTGCTTCCAAGGAGCTAAATAATGTATGATCGCTGTTTGAGTGCAGCCTCTGCCCCCCCACTTCCCCCCCACCCCACCCCTGGAGCCCTCCAGCGGGCAGCCTGACGCCAGAGAGGAAGAGAGAGAGAGCGGTCAAGAGGCAGGAGGAAAGGCGGCGCTCCCCCTGCTCCAAGCCACTCCTGGGGAACTGGGGCGAGCGGACGCAGGGCTTTCCGCCATTCCCTGGTGGGGGGAGAACAGGGGAGGGGCGCAGAACGGGGTGGGAGTGCTCAAATCGTATCTTCATCCTAAACCGGGCAAAGGCAGGCTGCCCCCCCCCACCTACAATAACCCTGCCCACCGTGACGCAAATCAAGGGCATCTGCATACGTCCTTTTCTTTTACTCTCTTGCTAGCTCAGCCTTGCCCTCACCGGTTCTGGGAGGCTCCTATAGAAGGGTCCCATATGCACAGAGACTTTGCACCTGCCCAATAATAATAATAATAATAATAATAATAATTTTTAGTTATATCCCGCCCTCCCCAGCCAAGACCAGGCTGACGGCGGCTAGCAACCAATAATAAAAACAAGTTGATTAAAATACAACTTAAAAAACAAGATTAAAATACAACATTAAAATGCAGCCTCATCGCAGGAGGAGAAAGGAAAAAAGTAAGAAGGGGAGGGAATCAAATTGATTCTAAGCCAAAGGCCAGGTGGAACAACTCTGTCTTACAGGCCCTGCGGAAAGAAATCAGATCCTGCAGGGTCCTAGTCTCGTGGGACAGAGCGTTCCACCAGGTCGGAGCCATCACTGAAAAGGCCCTGGCCCTGATGGAGGATAGTTGGGCTTCCTTAGGGCCCGGGACCTTTAAGCTATTATTATTCATGGACCCTAGGGTCTTCCGTGGGGCATACCGGGAGAGGCGGTCCCGTAGGTACGAGGGTCCTAGGCAGTGAAGGGCTTTAAAGGTCAAGACCAGCACCTTGAACCTGACCCTGTACTCCACCGGGAGCCAGTGCAGCTGGAAAAGCACTGGGTGAATATGGTCCCATGGCAGAGACCCCGTGAGGAGGCTCGCTGCAGCATTCCGCACCCGCTGGAGTTTCTCGGGCTAAGCTTCAAGGGCACACCCCGCGTAGACAGAGGCAGAGGGTCTTCTCGGTGGTGGCGCCCGCCCTGGGGAACGCCCTCCCATCAGACGTCAAGGAAATAAAGAACTATCTGACTTTTAGAAGACACCTGAAGGCAACCCTGTATCGGGAAGCTTTTTAAGGTTTAAAGTTTTATTATGGTTTTATATATACTGGAAGCTACCCCGTCAGATAGGTGGGGTACAAATTTTGTTGTTGTTGTTGTAAATTTGTTGTTGTTGTTGTTAGTGGACCACAAGCTGAACGGGAGTCAATGGTGTGATGCAGCAGCATAAAAAGCTAATGCTATTCTAGGCTGCATCAACAGAAGTACAGTGGTACCTCGGGTTAAGTACTTAATTCGTTCCGGAGGTCCGTTCTTAACCTGAAACTGTTCTTAACCTGAAGCACCACTTTAGCTAATGGGGCCTCCTGCTGCCGCCAGAGCACGATTTCTGTTCTCATCCTGAAGCAAAGTTCTTAACCTGAGGTACTATTTCTGGGTTAGCGGAGTCTGTAACCTGAAGTGTCTGTACCCTGAAGCGTCTGTAACCCGAGGTACCACTGTATACTGTCCAGATCAAGAGAAGTAATAGTACCGCTCTATTCTGCTTTAGTCAGACCACATTTAGAATACTGTGTCCAGTTCTGGGCACCACAATTTAAGAAGAATATTGACAAGATGGAAGGAGGGCAGAGGAGGACAATCAAGACGGAGGACGGTTGAAGGAGCTGGGCATGTTTAGCTTGGAGAAGAGAAGAATGATTGGTGAGACGAAGGCCATTTTCAAATATCTCAAGGGCTGTCCCGTGGAAGAGGGAACAAACTTGTTTCCTGCTACTCCAGAGGGGAGGACCCAAACCAATGGATTCAAACATTGACAGTAGAACGGACGACCTCAGAAGGTGATGGACTCTCCTTCGTTGGAGGTTTTTAAATAGAGGTTGTGTGGTCGTCTATTAGAATTTTTTTTAGCTGCGATTCAGATGCAGCGGGTTGGATCCAACTCTACGATGGTTCTATGATTCTATAAATTGTTGGAGGAAATGTGGAGTGATGGGAACGTACAGCCTTATGTGGTGGCATTGTCCGTCAGTTAATGAATTTTGGAAACAGATTGGTATAGAAATATCGGGAATTGTGGGTAGGAAGGTGAGAATATCTAAATTAGTGGTTCTTATTAGTCTGAGTAGCACCGAGTTAAAAACAAAAAAGGAATGTAAATGGGTAAAATTGATGGTAACTGCAGCCAGACAGGTTATAGCGATTAACTGGAAAAATGCAGACGAGCTAGGGGTGAACCAATGGAGGGAAAAACTGAACATTATAATTTTACAATATCTAACTGTGAAGATACACAGAATGAAAGGGTTTAAGGTCAGTGAGAAAGAGGAGGATTGGTTTGAGAAGATATTGAATTATTTGGCTAGGTTTGAACAATTTGGGGCAATTAAAATGTTAAAAGTTACATAAACCTTGTGGGTGGAGGAGTGTTAACGTATATAAAATTGTACATATGGTTGATTTGAATATGTTATTATTGATTACGTATACCCAATGTATCAGCTGCCTGGGGGCGTTTCACTGTTTGTGCTTTGGTTGTTGGTAAAAAATAAAAATATTTAAACATTAAAAAAAAGAGAATATGGAGCAATCGCGGAATTCACCCACCCACAGCCCAGCAACTCACATCAACAACCAGGAAACCGGAGGCTTGGACGTGGCGTCGGGCCATTGCGAAGCGCCCCAGCAGGTCTTTGCTCCGGTTGCTGAAGTTTGGGAACTCCCATCCGAGAAAGGCGAGCCTGCGAGAGAGTTTGGGGTGGGAAGGGGAGAGAGAAAACAGAGCTCAGCACCATCATGGACTCCCAATAACATCTTCTGCCTTTTGAGGAGCACCTGCCTGACTGCCAGGGAGGCCACTGCCCATAAATGCCCCTTAGGCAGGCTTTAGTCAATGTCTGCAACACGCCCTTTCTAAAGATGGGTGGAGAAAACTCACAAGGATTAGGCCAGAGGGTCCAACACACGGCTTGCGGAAATTTAAATCAGTGTGCGGCCGGCGGGTTCTGTGCCGAATAATAATAATAATAATAATAATTTATTATTTATACCCCGCCCATCTGGCTGAGTTTCCCCAGCCACTCGGGGCGGCTCCCAATCAAGTATTAAAAACAATACAGCGTTAAATATTAAAAGCTTCCCTGAACAGGGCTGCCTTCAGCTGTCTTTTAAAGATAGGATAGATACTTATTTCCTTCACATCTGAAGGGAGGGCATTCCACAGGGCAGGCGCCACCACCGAGAAGGCCCTCTGCCTGGTTCCCTGTAACCTCACTTCTCGCAGGGAGGGAACCGCCAGAAGGCCCTCGGCACTGGACCTCAGTGTCTGGGCTGAACGATGGGGGTGGAGACGCTCCTTCAGGTATACTGGGCCGAGTAGATACTCTACTCATAAACTCTTATCTCCAATTCTGTAACGAATTATTGTGTTATATATATCATTATGAGTTTGAGTTTGTAATCTCTTTTGAATGGATTAGTTTTTGTTACAATTGACTATTGATTTGAGAGTAGGGACCACTCCCACTATTGAAACTCACATTGGCCTGAGTTCTTGGCGTGCCTTTTTCTAGACCAAGGGTACGCAGTGTGGGGTCCTCTAGATATTGCTGGACTCCCAGCATCAGCCAGTGTGACCAACGGCCAAGGAAGAGCAGAGCTGCAGCTGGGCAACACCTGCACGGCATCCATTCTTCCATTATACAGCAATGTATAACTTGCTGCTGAAATGGAATACTCAGGATGAAACGGTGAAATCTGCTATGATTAAATGGGCACAAGATGTTGGTCATAACATAATGATGGCGGACTGGGAACAGTTATGGACCACAGGTATGAAGTTTACGGCATGTAATGTCCTAAGAGAGAATATTATGAAAATGATATACAGGTGGTACATGACCCCAGTCAAGCTTGCAAAAATCTATCATTTGCCTGATAATAAATGCTGGAAATGTAAAGAAACTGAAGGTACATTCTTTCACCTTGGTGGACGTGACCAGGATTAAGGCTTGCTGGAAATGATATATAATGAACTGCAAAAGGTATTTAAATATACCTTCTTGAAGAAACCAGAGGCCTTTCTTCTAGGCATTGTCGGCCAATTGGTGCCAAGAAGGACAGATTTTTTATGTATGCTACAACAGCAGCAAGAATACTCATTGCAAAGTATTGAAGACACAAGATCTACCACTTTGGAAGAATGGCAGATGAAGGTGATGGACTATATGGAATTGGCAGAAATGACTGGCAGAATCCGAGACCAGGGAGAAGAGTCGGTGGAAGAAGATTGGAAGAAATTTAAAGACTATTTACAGAAATATTGTAAAATTAATGAATGATAGAATGATGTTGGATACTAATTAGCTGTTTCTAGCTGTAATGCTCTAAGAGAATATGAAAAAAGGGTTATAAATGGGTTAAAATCTAATGGTAAGGATTTGCTGAACCAATAAATTGAAGTGGAATACAAAAAAGGGAGGTACGAGGAAGTCCGGGAAATAAGCCAAAGGAAAATAAGTAATAGAAAATATGTGTGTTTTTAACTGTTTTTATTTTGTATTTTTCTTTTTTCTTTTTCATTTTTACTGTAATATTTCAAAAAGCCTTAATAAATATATAAAAAAAAAACCTGCAGGGCATCAGGTCGTCTCTGTCTTTGTGGCCGAAATTTTGGTGCCCCCTCTAAGCCAGAGCCTACAGCTCTGGTGCGCCGTGGACAAGCACCCTGCCAGAATTCCCAAAATCTTGCGTCTTCCCCGGAAGGGCCTGCAAATAAGGACCGGCTTCCTCTCCACTTGCTTTCCAGCACCAAGAGCAGAGTCTTGCCCTGAACCAGGAAAGATGACTTGATGCAATCACCCTAAACCTGCAAGGTCAATTCTGTGTCCAGGGCAGCTGTTTACCAGCTCTATCTGGTATTTAGGCTGAGACTCTATCTGCCTGCAAACTGTCTCGCCAGAGTGGTGCATGCTCTGGTTATCTCCCACTAGGACTACTGCAATGTGCTCTACGTGGGGCTACCTTTGAAGGTGACCCGGAAACTACAACTAATCCAGAATGAGGCAGCTAGACTGTTGACTGGGAGCGGCTGCCGAGACCACATAACAGCGGTTTTGAAAGACCTACACTGGCTCCCAGTACGTTTCCGAGCACAATTAAAAGTGTTGGTGCTGATCTTGAAAGCCCTAAATGGCCTCAGTCCAGTATACCTGAAGGAGCGTCTACACCCCCATCGTTCTACCCGGACACTGAGGTCGAGCGCCGAGGGCCTTCTGGCAGTTCCCTCCCTGCGAGAAGTGAGGTTACAGGGAACCAGGCAGAGGGCCTTTTCGGTAGTGGCACCCGCCCTGTGGAACGCCCTCCCACCAGATTTCAAAGAGAACAACTACTACCAGACTTTTAGACGACATCTGAAGGCAGCCCTGTTTAGGGAAGCTCTTAACGTTTGATGCGTTACTGTATTTTAATATTGTGTTGGAAGCCGCCCAGAGTGGCTGGGGAATGAACATTACGAAGAATGGAAGAAATTTAATGATTATTTAGTTAAATTTGTTAAGCTAAAATAACTGGAAATAGCATCCAGATAATTAAAGGGCTTAGGATTGTATCTATGTTAACTGATAAAATATGTTTAATACAAGAAGGAGAAGATTTAAAGATGTTAATGTTTAATTTAAAGGGTATTAAAATTGGGATTTGGGAAACCGTAATAAGGACATGCAATGAAATTCAACTAAGGGGAAACGAGGAAGTCGTTTTACAAAGTAAATAACTGTTATTTTCAATAAGGTTATGATTTATGTTTGTTATGTTTTGTTTGTTTTATGTTTTTGTTTGTCATTGATATTGTAAAAACTAATAAAATTTTTGCAGAGTGGCTGGGGAAACCCAGCCAGATGGGCGGAGCATTAATAATAATAATAATAATAATAATAATAATAATAATAATATATTATTATTATTATTATTATTATTATTATTTCACCAGGACTACAACTCCCATCATCCCTGAGCCCTGGTCCTGCTAGGGCTCAGGTTTGAGAAACGCTGCCCTAACCAACAGCCCCGAAGACTCACCTTCTGGCCCCGAGCGGGAGAGGTTTAGATCCCTCGGACTGGGCCTCGGCAGGAGCTGTGAAGTCTGCTACAGGCAAGGGCTGGTTGTCTGCGTTAAGCACCATCTCGGCATCTGCGGATGGAAAAGAAATGTCACTTCTGAGCTGGCAATTCTCCTGTGGGCAGGGGCTCTGCAGATCCCATGGACCAGCCGATCGGGAGGGCTTTCAAACCCATTACCTGCCCTGCGCCTGACATCATATATTAGGTAGGTTGGCGTGGCTTGACAAAAACGGCCACATGGGGACACCTGGTGGAGATTGCCCCTTGCTGATTAATTGGGTTGCTTTGCTGTGTTTTGGGAATCACCCCGAACTCGCTGCAAGGCAACATCTGTGAAGCTAGCCTGATCTCCCAGCTCCTAGTCTGACACGCTAACCCTGCCTTTCTCAACCTGTGGGTCCCCAGGTGTTGTTGAACTACAACTCCCATCACCCCTAGCTAGCAAGGCCAGAGTTCAGGGATGATGGGAGTTGTAGTCCAACAACATCTGGGGACCCACAGGTTGAGAACCGTCTAACCACTACACCCAACTGGCTTCCTAGAGTTCTTCGGCTATGGGACAGCTCAGTAAATTAAGAAGGTAAATAAATATGAGGAAAGCAAAATGTCCCTTAGTAACGGATCTGAAATATTTCCCTCGAAGCTTGAATCTGAAGCTTGAATTATTTTATCACATGGAAGAAGCAACAAGCTTATTTTCTCCTGCTCTAGAGGGTAGGACTCAAACCAATGGTTTCAAGTGACAAGAAAGGACTAAACATCTGGAAAAACTTTCTGACTGAGAGCTGTTTGATAGTAAAACAGTCTCGGTTGGGAGATTCTGGTCTACAATTCTATGATTCTATAATGTGTCGTAAACCACCCTGAGATTCTTTCCTTAAAACACAAAGCGGTAAATGAATAATAGTAGCAGTAATGCAGCCAAAGTCCTGTTATAGGATCCACAAGGTACTACTAAGGTAAGGTAAAGGTAAAGGACTCCTGGACGGTTAAGTCCAGTCAAAGGCGACTATGGGGTTGTGGCGCTCATCTCGCTTTCAGGCTGAGGGAGCCGGCGTTTGTCCACAGACAGCTTTCCGGGTCATGTGGCCAGCAGGACTAAACTGCTTCTGGCACAACAGGACACTGTGATGGAGGCCAGAGCGTATGGAAACGCCGTTTACCTTCCCACCGCAGTGGTCCCTATTTATCTACTTGCACTTTGACGTGCTTTCGAACTGCTAGGTTGGCAGGAGCTGGGACAGAGTAACGGGAGCTCACACTGTTGCAGGGCTTCGAACCGCCGACCTTCTGATCGGCAAGCCCAAGAGCATGGGTAGGCAAACTCAGGCCCGGGGACCGGATCCGGCCCAACCGTCTTCTAAATCCAGCCCACCGACGGTCTAGGAATCAGCGTGTTTTTACATGAGTAGAATGTGTGCTTTTATTTAAAATGCATCTCTGGCTTATTTGTGGGGCATAGGAATTTCTTCATTTCCCTCCAAAAAAAAATAGTCCGGCCCCCCACAAGGGGACAGTGGACCGGTCCCCTGCTGAAAAAGTTTGCTGACCTCTACCCAAGAGGCTCGGCGGTTTAGACCACAGTGCCACCCGTGCCCTTATAAAACACTACTACAGTATTCATAACCTATGGACCCAAGTGCCAACCCCCAACTTGGCTGTGGGGTGGTGTGAGATACAGTGGTACCTCGGGTTAAGAACTTAATTCGTTCCGGAGGTCCGTTCTTAACCTGAAACTGTTCTTAACCTGAAGCACCACTTTAGCTAATGGGGCCTCCCGCTGCCGCCGGAGCACGATTTCTGTTCTCATCTTGAAGCAAAGTTCTTAACCCGAGGTACTATTTCTGGGTTAGCGGAGTCTGTAACCTGAAGCGTCTGTAACCTGAGGTACCACTGTAGAGATCTTGCCCCCTGGGACAAGAATGTGCCCCCTCCCTGTCACCCAACGGCTAAGGGGACCCTTCTGTAGGTGGGGCAAGATGTTGCCATGCGAAGAGGAGGCCTCCACAGATATTTTCCTCTGCAAACGGCCTGCCCTCCAGTGCCCCACGCTGCCCCCTACAACAGCACGAAGAGTGGGGCTCACCAAGCAGCCAGCCGCAGTCGGTGTCCACCTCAAAGCGCACTTTCGCTGGGTCTCCCGCAACCACCTGCAGCACCTCCCTGAGGCTGCTCTGAAGGGGGGTGGGCTTCCTGCCCCCCTGGAGCCCCTTGCTGCCCAGGGCTTCCGGCGGCAGGAGGGGCCCTGCGTAGTCGGCGCACTCCAGGCAGGCGGCGGCGTTGATGTGGATCAGTTTGAGCCGGTAGTTGTGCCCTCTGGCCGAGGGGTCGTCTGCCGTAGGTGGAGGAAGGAAAAGGAAGAGAGAGAGAAAGAAAACAGTGCAGAATGGTGCAGAATGCCGCGGCGAGACTCCTTACGGGGTCCTCGCCGCGGGATCACATTCACCCGGTGCTATTCCAGCTGCACTGGCTCCCGGTGGAGTACAGGATCAGGTTCAAGGTGCTGGTTTTAACCTTTAAAGCCCTATTGTGATGGCCTGGGAATCAGATTCAGAGGCTAAACCTGAGGAATCCCAGCCTTCACAGAAGTCCCCACCTCCAGGACTGGCTGAGCCGGGGCTGAGGCATAAGGGTCCTCACCTGTGCTGGATCCTCAGGTGCAGGCACCAGCTGAATCTGCTCTGGCTCCGGAGGTGATGGAGGACCCATTGCCTGCAGGTGCTCCACTCTCAGCCCCGTCAGGGGAAGGTGAGGTTGCCTCTGGGTCTATTATTATTATTATTATTATTATTATTATTATTATTTTAGTGGAAGAGGTGTTCTTGGGTCTTCTTTGGGTTTTTTTGTTTCTAGTACATATTTTGTTTTTCTTTTTGTATTGTAATTTTATGCCGTGAACCACCCAGAGATCTATGGGTATAGGGCAGGATACTAGTGCTAATAATAATAATAATAATAATAATAATAATAATAATGAAATAGCAAGATGAATGAATAAAGATGGGACCCAACACAGCAGGTACTTTCTTTGCGCTAACCTAGAGCATGAGCGCTGTGCATACCTCAGTCGTTTCAGTGGGGCCTGAGCTGGAGAAGGGCTATACAGGGCCCCATAGGCAGCCCCCTCCTATCCTATCCTCAGATGCGTCGCAAGAACTCTCAGCACCCTACATGAACTACAGTTCCCAGAATTCTTTGCGGAGTGAGGAAGCCGTGGCTGCTCAAAAGCGGCGTGACGCTGCTTTAAATGTAGGGCACAGATGGAGCCTTAGATAATAGATGAGCTCTGTGCCAAAATCCTTGGGGAGCAGCGCCACCTAGCAGTCAGATTCCCAACTCCAGGTCGGTCCTGAAAGGTGAAGGGAAGGGGCATCTAAAAGGGGTCCGTGGCCAGGGGAGGGTCAGAGTGCCCACTGCTAGGAAGCAGTTTTCCTGGTCCTTGGATGCTTTCCCCACCTCCTCCCCACCCAGGTCACTCGTCCCCTCATCTGCTCATACCTAAGAAGCGAGTGCAAAACTCCGGCTCCAAAACTTTTTGCAGATGGGAAGCCTTCGCTTGCTGCAGAACGCAGAGGGACCACACCAGGTCCAGAAGCAGGTAGGGGTCTAAGTCATCCAAGTGGTTGTCCATCCCTCTGTGGACCTGGAAAGGAGAAAGAAGCGGGTTATTATCATTAGTAGTAGTAATAGTAGTAAAGGTAAAGGGACCCCTGACCATTATGTCCAGTCATGGCCGACTCTGGGGTTGCGGCGCTCATCTCGCTTTATTGGCCGAGGGAGCCGGCGTACAGCTTCCGGGTCATGTGGCCAGCATGACTAAGCTGCTTCTGGCAAACCAGAGCAGCGCATGGAAATGCCGTTTACCTTCCTGCTGGAGTGGTACCTATTTATCTACTTGCACTTTGACGTGCTTTCGAACTGCTAGGTGGGCAGAAGCAGGGACTGAGAAACGGGAGCTCACCCCGTCGCTGGGATTCGAACCGCCAACCTTCTGATCGGCAAGTCCTAGGCTCTGTGGTTTAACCCACAGCGCCCCCCGTGTCCCCAGTAGTAGTAGTAGTAGTAGTAGTAATATATTGCCCTTCATCTGTAGATCTCAGAGCGGTTCACAGCATAAGAATACAAGATAAAAACATAAAATACAGTGGAACCTTGGTTTCGAACGTAATCCATTCCAGAAGACCATTTGACTTCCGAAACGTTTAAAAACTGAAGCAGTTACTTCTGGGTTTTCGGCTTTTGGAAACCGAAACTTCCGACTTCCGAGACTTCTGAAAACCGAGGTTCCACTGTACATAATACAAACAAGGACAGAACAAACCCCCAGAAACAAATAACCCTCTTTCCCCTCCTACAAACACAATCAAAAGGGGATAGGATGTTAGTCTCTTGGGCGGCGGCAGGGGAATACCTCTAGGCTGGCATTTGAGAACCTACTTAGAATCATGTAATCACAGAGTTGGAAGGGACCTCCCCAGGTCATCCAGTCCAACCCGCTGCAATGCGGGAATCTCTGCTAAAGCATCCCCGGCCGATGGCTACATTCTCCCTCCCTCTGCCCTCCCAAGATGAATAAAGGACTTTACTGTGCTATAGAAGGCATCTCTGCAGCTGGGATGGAAGTTCAAGCGAGCAAAAGCGAGGACGACGTTGCTAAGGTGGACCAGGGAGTATTTTTCGGCGTTGTCCACGGTGTGCTAAGAAAAGAAGCATAGGGGAAAAGCGATTGAGTTCATTCATTTCAAACGGTTACAGTTTAGCCATAAATATGGTTATAAAGACTAGGACTAGCCGCCTGAGAAACAGTTTCTACCCAAACGCAATTTTGGTTTTAAACACATTGTAAGGAGCCTGCTTTGTAAGGAGCCAGCATCTTAAACGGCATCTTAAAAAGCAGAGACATCACCTTGCCAACAAAGGTCCGTATAGTTCAAGCTATGGTTTTCCCAGTAGTTATGTATGGAAGTGAGAGCTGGACCATAAAGAAGGCTGATTGCCAAAGAATGGATGCTTTTGAATTCTGGTGCCGGAGGAGACTCTTGAGAGTCCCATGGACTGCAAGAAGATCAAACCTCTCCATTCTGAATGGAGCCCTGAGTGCTCACTGGAAGGACAGATCCTGAAGCTGAGGCTCCAAGACTTTGGCCACCTCATGAGAAGAGAAGACTCCCTGGAAAAGACCCTGATGTTGGGAAGGATGGAGGGCACAAGGAGAAGGGGACGACAGAGGACGAGGTGGTGGGACAGTGTTCTCCAAGCTACCAGCATGAGTTTGACCGAACTGCGGGAGGCAGTGGAAGACAGGAGTGCCTGGCGTGCTCTGGTCCAGGGGGTCACCAAGAGTCGGACACGACTAAACGACTAAACAATAAGGAGCCTGTATTGGAGTATATTGTATTTTAAAGTGGGGTATCAGAGTTTTTAGGGGGCTAACCAGGTTGGGATAGCTGGGATAGCAGACTTGTTGGGTTTTGAATGTCTTATGTAGATTTTCAATTTCGTTGTTCTGTTTGGGACAATGGCAATGAAGATTATCGTATCGTAAATGAATCAGAAACTGCTTGAATGGGAACAGAAGCCCCACCGCTTTCATCCTAGAATATTTTCATTGCTTGGTTAGCTCTCCAAGCCCCAACACAGACCCCCTTTTCACTCCACGCTCTCAAAGACCAGCCTAACACTTTGAATCAACACACGAATAACTTCCTCCTCCTCCTTTCTTACTTTATTTTTTGTGTGTTTCTGAGTCTCTGACAAAAGCCACCCCCACTCTTTTTAGCCTTTTGAAAGAGATCCTTTCTTTACACTTCAGTTCAGGCATAGGCAAACTCGGCCCTCCAGATGTTTTGGGACTACAACTCCCATCATCCCTATCTAACAGGAGCAGTGGTCAGGGATGATGGAAATTGTAGTACCAAAACATTTGGAGGGCCAAGTTGGCCTACGCCTGCTTTAGTTCAAGATGCATATGTACTGTCTGATTTGCTGCCCTATTGTACTTCTTGCCTCGCTATCTGAAGCAGCATTCAGATGGCCTCTCTTCTCATGTAATAAATCAACTTTTCTTTAAATCTGCGTCTGTGTAAAAGTTAAAAGGTAAAGGACCCCTGGATGGTTGCGTCCAGTCAAAGGCGACTCTGGCGTTGCGGCGCTCATCTCGCTTTCAGGCCGAGGGAGCCAGAGTTTGACCACAAACAGCTTCCTGTGGCCAGTAAGACTAAACCGCTTCTGGCGCAACGGGACACCGTGACGGAAACCATAGCGCACGGAAACGCCGTTTACCTTCCCGCCACAGCAGTACCTATTTATCTACTTGCACTGGCGTGCTTTCGAACTGCTAGGTTGGCAGGAGTTGGGACCAAGCAATGGGAGCTCACTCCGTCGAGGGGATTCGAACCGCCAACCTTCTGATCGGCAAGCCCAAGAGGCTCAGTGGTTTAGACCACTTCCTGTGAGCACCAGGTTACAGGAAAGCACATACAGTAGGACCTCCAGTTACGAACGGGATCTGTTCATAGCTGTCAACTTTCCCCTTTTTTTAATGGAAATTCCCTTATTCCGAATAGGATTCCTCGCAAGAAAAGGGAAATGTTGACAGCTATGGATCTGTTCCAGAGGCCCAGCATATCCCAAAAATTTCATAACCGGAGGACCGCTTCTGCGCATGGAGCCACAGACCGCTTCTGCGTACGTAGCAAACTCACTTCCGGGTTTGCTGCGTTCGCAACCTGAAGATTATGTTACCCGAAGGTAAAGTAACCTGAGGGTCCACTGTATTCATAACCAAGACACAGAAGGTCCTATACTTCTTGGTAGCGTGTGCATGGACACATGTGAATTCTGCACACGCATGTGGGTCCAGACACATACCTGGAGACATAGCTTGGGCCACACCCACCCCGGGTCAGTAGTAGTAGTAGTAGTAGTAATAATAATAATAATAATAATAATAATAATAATAACAATAATTTATTATTTATACCCTGCCCATCTGGCTGAGTTTCCCCAGCCACTCTGGACGGCTTCCAATCGAGTGTTAAAATCAATACAGCATTAAATATTAAAAACTTCCCTAAACAGGGCTGCCTTCAGATGTCTTTTCAAGATAAGATAGCTACTTATTTCCTTCACATCTGAAGGGAGGGCATTCCACAGGGCGGGCGCCAGAAGGCCCTCGGCGCTGGACCTCAGTGTCCGGGTAGAACAATGGGGGTGGAGAGGCTCCTTGGGCCTTTGAGGCTGTTTAGGGCTTCAAAGGTCAGCACCAACACTTTGAATTGTGCTCTGAAACGTACTGGGAGCCAATGCAGATCTCTCAGGACCAGTGTTGTGTGGTCCCTGCGGCCACTCCCAGTCAGTGGCTCCTAGGAGGCTGCCCACGGGAAAACACAGCCCTCAAACTAAAACAGGCTTCACAGCCTGGCACTGATGAGTCAAAGAAGAGTTTGGATTTGATAGCCCGCTTTATCACTACCCGAAGGAGTCTCAAAGCAGCTAACAATCTCCTTTCCCTTCCTCGCCCACAACAAACACTCTGTGAGGTGAGTGGGGCTGAGAGACTTCAGAGAAGTGTGACTGGCCCAAGGTCACCCAGCAGATGCATGTGGAGGAGCGGGGAATCGAACCCGGTTCACCAGATTACGAGTCCGCCGCTCTTAACCACTACACCACGCTGGCTCAAAGGAACAGGGCCATAGGACGTGGGGGTTTGCCTCCACCTCTGCCCCTTACTCACCTGCGCAAAGGCCTCAAAGAGGGGCAGGTTGAGCCACTTGAGGTAAGCGAAGGACTTCAGGCAGCGCACCACATCCCCAGGGGACAGCTCCGGCACGCGGGGATGGAGGTCTGCGGCGATCTTCTGAAAGACCTGGGTCTGGTGGAAACACAGCTTCCCTGAAGCAGAAAGAAGGAAACAGCAGTTAAGAAAAAAATGATGCCGACTGCAGAAGAGGAACCGGGATAATAATAATAATAATAATAATAATAATAATAATAATTTATTATTTATACCTCACCCATTTGGCTGGGTTTCCCCAGCCACCCTGGGCGGCTCCCAACCGAATACAGTGGTACCTCAGCTTACATACGCTTCAGGTTACAGACCCTTCAGGTTACAGACTCCGCTAATGCAGAAATAGTACCTCGGATTAATAATAATAACAATAATAATTTATTATTTGTACCCCACCCATCAGGCTGGGTTTCCCCAGCCACTCTGGGCGGCTTCCACAAAGAACTTTGCTTCAGGATGAGAACAGAAATCGTGCTCCGGCGGCAGCAACAGGAGGCCCCATTAGCTAAAGTGGTGCTTCAGGTTCAGAACAGTTTCAGATTAAGAACAGACCTCCAGAACGAATTAAGTTCTTAACCCGAGGTACCACTGTATTTTTAATATTCTGTTGGGAGCTGCCCAGTGTGGCTGGGGAAACCCAGCCAGATGGGAGGGTATAAATAATAATAATAATAATAATTTATTACACACCCTCTCCAGCCCCTCCACCATGGATGGCAAGTGGCCAGGGAAGGGAGAATGCTGTCTGCAGAAGCATCTGTATGCTGTCTCTGCTTCCTGGTGCGTAAAACTCTTTACTGGGCAGAAGGGTTAAAGGGATGCGCCCATTTTTTAAAAGGAAGTCGCCGCTCACCGTAGGCGAAAGCCAGGTCCAGGAGGATGCTGGTGCTGAAGGTGAAGTGCTTCTGGACCAAGTGGTAGGAGATTGCCCGGAGCAGAGGGATGGACCGGCGGTTCTGGATCGCCAAGGCAACGGCGACTCTCCGGGTGTCCTCGGGGGTGAAGTGCTCAGCTAACTCCAGGCTCTGTTGACAAAGATGATGGATGTGAAAAATGGATGAAGACCAATTCCGGCGGGGCATACGCTATCGGCATATTGCACCCCAAATGGAAACCTTACTTGCAACTTTCGCATTGGTATAAAGCATGGGTAGGCAAACTAAGGCCCGGGGGCAGGATCCTGCCCAATCGCCTTCTAAATCCGGTCCGGGAATCAGCGTGTTTTTACATGAGTAGAATGTGTCCTTTTATTTAAAATGCATCTCTCGGTTATTTGTGGGGCATAGGAATTTGTTCATTTCCCCCCCTCCAAAATATACCATATTTTTTGCTCTATAAGACTCACTTTTTCCCTCCTAAAAAGTAAGGGGAAATGTGTGTGCGTCTTATGGAGCGAATGCAGGCTGTGCAGCTATCCCAGAAGCCAGAACAGCAAGAGGGATTGCTGCTTTCGCTGCACAGCGATCCCTCTTGCTCTTTTTTTTTCTTGTTTTCCTCCCCCAAAAACTAGGTGCCTCTTGTGCGTCTTATAGAGCAAAAAATACAGTAGTCTAGCCCCCCTCAAGGTCTGAGGGACAGTGGACCGGCCCCCTGCTGAAAAAGTCTGGTATAAAGGTTTAGCGGTAGCTGAAAATCTAACTCACAAATTACAAGTCGCCAAAGGTTAGGAGGACCCTGATGAAAGTCTATGCTGTTTGGTGCGATTTTATATTATAAGCAACTAAGGCTGACAACACAGGACTTCTCCTCCACAGTACAAAGTGAAATTTTGTTTTCCTAATGGCCTTCAGTACTTTGCCAACCTAATACTAAGTCTCTTTCAGGCACACTGTGCTGAGTTTTGGTACTTCTGCTATATCTATTGTATCAGTTGGTTTGATTTACTTTGATATCTTTTAAAAGAAAAATGATTTCGCTGAAAATCCCAAGTGGAGCCACCTCTTGAGATATGGTTCAATAATATTGGGAATATAGAGCTAGTTCAGAATGATGCATCAATAGGAGTATAGCATCTAGATCAAGGGCAGTAATAGTGCCACTGTATTCTGCTCTGGTCAGACCTCACCTGGAGTACTGTGTCCCGTTCTGGGCACCACAGTTCAAGAAGGACACTGACAAACTGGAACGTGTCCAGAGGAGGGCAACCAAAATGGTCAAAGGCCTGGAAACGATGCCTTATGAGGAACGGCTAAGGGAGCTGGGCATGTTTAGCCTGGAGAAGAGGAGGTTAGGGGTGATATGATAGCCATGTTCAAATATATAAAAGGATGTCACATAGAGGAGGGAGAAAGGTTGTTTTCTGCTGCTCCAGAGAAGCGGACACGGAGCAATGGATCCAAACTACAAGAACGAAGATTCCACCTAAACATTAGGAAGAACTTCCTGACAGTAAGAGCTGTTTGACAGTGGAATTTGCTGCCAAGGAGTGTGGTGGAGTCTCCTTCTTTGGAGGTCTTTAAGCAGACAACCGTATGTCAGGAGTGCTCTGATGGCGTTTCCTGCTTGGCAGGGGGTTGGACTCGATGGCCCTTGTGGTCTCTTCCAACTCTATGATTCTATGATGAACTGGGTTTAGAAGAGCTACAAATGGGGTTGTAAAGGAAAATGCCTTTGAGGAAACCGGATCTCCCTTCTTTTCACAAGCAAGGGGAAAAGAAAGCTCTCCCACCAGCCTCACAAACCTGTCTGTGAAGCACCTAGATCAGCCTTTCCCAACCTATGGGTCCCCAGATGTTGTTGGACTACAACTCCCATCATCCCTGAGCTCTGGCCTTGCTAGCTAGGGGTGATGGGAGTTGTAGTTCAACAACATCTGGGGACCCACAGGTTGAGAAAAGCTGGCCTAGATGGACGGCCAATGTTTTAAAACCATGTAGAATGACACTTGCTTGGCATCTGCTTCGTATAATACAGGCAAGGTGGTCAAAAAACTGTTCTATTTTCTCAGGTTTAAATCAACACGTTGTGGCTGGTTTTCCGAGCTACTCTGGAACTGCTACTGTTACACTATGTATTGCTTTGTACAGTGATCCCTTGGTTCTCAAACGCCTTGGTACTCAAACAACTTGGAACCCAAACACTGCAAACCCAGAAGTGTTCCGGTTTACAAACTTTTTTCAGAAGCCGAACGTGCTCCGTTTTGAGTTTTACGCTTCCGATTTGAGCGCCACACTTCCATTTTACGCTGAGGTCTGTCTGTTTTTCCTATTTATTCTGTGTTTCTGTTTTTGCGGCTCTTTTCCGTTTTGTTTTTGTGACTGTGTGGAACCCAGTTCAGCTACTGATGGACTGATTGTGTGACTGCAGGACGACATCGTTTACTGCTTTCATTTTATGGATCAGTGGTCTCGTTAGATAATAATAAATAATAATAATTTTTTATTTATACCCCGCCCTTCCCGGTTCAAAAACTGGGCTCAGGGCAGCCAACAACAAATTTAAAACACTTTAAAACATTTAATTATAAAGACAGCATAAAATACAGTATAAAAACATGAATGACAATAAAATTCAAAATTCAATTAGATAATCCCCAGGCAGGGCTAGCTGGCTGAATTAGTCCTACTTGGGCCAGCTGCCCAATTCATGTTCACAATTGCTGTTTTAGGGGTTGTTTTTAAAAGCCCGGAACGGATTAGTCCATTTTGCACTACTTTCTCTGGGAAAGTGCGCCTTGGTTTTGGAACGGACTTCCGGAACGGATTAAGTCTGAGAGCCAAGGTACCACTGTACTGTATTCTGTGTTTTATTGACTTTGTACATAGCCATTCAACTGCATTTTAATAATAAATAAATCCCATGCATCTCCTCTCCCTTCACCCCCGGTGTCGGACTGTACTGGTTCCTGCCTCTACCTTATCCTCCAGTCTCTCCATCAGTGCTGGGGAGAGGGGCCCCACTTTCGACATCAGCATCACCACCGTCCTGACGTCCGAAATCTCCGTCCAACGCAGCTCAAGATGTTTCAGCACATCGCTGAGCAGCTCGCTCGGGTGTCCCTTGGGGACGCTGGCGGCCACGTGCTCAGCCAGGAAGGCCAGGTTCTTGAAGGTCAGGCGCCTCAGCCGCCAGCGCACCTCCTGCTCCACCGAGCGCATCTCCGGCCTGCTCCGCTCCAGCCCCAGGAGGTCGAGGCTCTTGAAAAGGTTCACCAAAGCCGTGTTCCATACCTGAGTCCCCTGCACACAAAAGAAGATTCAGGACGGATGCAAGAAAGGACTTCTGCACGTGTAAACTGTGGAACTCCCTGCTGCAGGAAGCAGTGACGGCCACCAACTTGGACGGCTTTAAAAGAGGGTGTGATGGCCTGGGATTCGGACTCAGAGGCTGAACCTGAGGAATCCCAGCCTGCACAGGAGTCCCTGCCTCCAGGACCGGCTGAGCCGGGGCTGGGGCTTGAGCCTGAAGGGTCCTCACCTGTGCCGGATCCTCAGGAGCAGACACCAGCTGAATCTGCTCTGGCTCCAGAGGTGATGGAGGACCCATTGCCTGCAGGTGCTCCACTCTCAGCCCCGTCAGAGGAAGCTGAGGTTGCCTCTGGGTCCGGTAACCCTCCATCCTCTCCTGAGCTGCAGAGGCTCAGGGCAGAGAGGCGGAGGGAACTACAGTGGTGCCTCGCAAGACAAAATTAATTCGTTCCGCAAGTTTTTTCGTCTTGCGAGTTTTTTCGTCTTGCGAAGCACGGTTTCAATTTTTTCAAAAAAATCTTCAAAAACCTCAAAAAAGGCTACCACACCGCGTGCTATGAGTTGCTCCCCAAAGTCAAGTTGCAACTGCACCTCTTCAAGCAATGCACCCTGTATTACTGTAACGGTTTTAAGAAAAAGGAAACAAACTTGCAAGACGTTTCCGTCTTGCGAAACAAGCCCATAGGGAAATTCGTCTCGCGAAGCAACTCAAAAAACAAAAAACTCTTTCGTCTTGCGAGTTTTTCGTCTTGAGAGGCATTCGTCTTGCGAGGTACCACTGTAAGTTCCTGCAGGAGGAGTGCTCATCTCCAGGCCAGGAGAGGCGAGTCACCTGTGGACTGGGACCGCCCTATGCCTTGGGGCAGATAAAAGCTGGCCAGCCCCAGTCCCAGGTTGCGGGAGCAACATTATTGGTAACCTGTTCCAGCTGGTATCCTGTCCTGCTCTTCTGCCAGAGTTCCTGACCTCACCCGATTCCTTGCCTTGGACCCCGCTTCAGCCTTGACGGACAGCCCCCATACCACACCCTCAACCTTGGACTGGACTCTGACCATGCCACACAGGAAGCCCCAGGGACCAGCACAGAGGGTTAGGACGAATTCGTGGAGAAGAGGGCTATTGATGGCTACTGGACATGCTGGCTCTGCTCTGCCTCCACCGATAGGCAGCACTGATTCTGGGTTTTTAAAAAAATGCTTTTTATTGGTTTTTCCTTTCATACAAGCAAACAAAATACAATGAAATTTAACAGTCATTTGCCCACATTCTTTCCCCACACTCTGCCGAGCGTTGACTTCCCTCCCTTCAACTGGCTTTCTTACTTCAGTTACTTTTACACCGTTTCTTATTGCATCCTATCTACGTCGTAAGATTTATTTCATTCCTGCCAGAGTCTTCAAATTTCTACAGTTATATATTCTATAAATTTGCTCCAATCTCTTTGGAGTTTTGTTGCCTCCTGATTTCGGATCCTACAGGTCATTTTGCTAGTTCTGCAGAGTCAACCACCTTGGTCTGGGAGGCAGCCCTGATTCTGAATGCCAGTTTCTGGAAAGCACAGATGGGGAGAGGGCTCTTGCGCTCGGATCCTGATGCGGGGCTTCCCGTGATGAACATCTAGTTGGCCCGTGCGAGAACAGGATGCTGGACTAGGTAGGGGCCTGATCCTGCAAGCTCCCATGTTCTCCTGCTCAAATTCTTCTGGATAAAGAGGCTTCATCCCCAGCCCCCATCTCCCATCTCGGGGTCAGGGAGCCCTACCCCACCAAGTTCCTTGTAACCCACATCCTGTGTCTCCACTGCCTTTTGGGGGCTTGGCCACCTTCTTCCTAGGAGTCTTGGTTGACCACAAACTTGACATGAGCCAACAGTGTGACACGGCAGCTAAAAAAGCCAATGCAATTCTGGGCTGCATCCATAGGAGTATAGCATCTAGATCAAGGGAAGTAATAGTGCCACTGTATTCTGCTCTGGTCAGACCTCACCGGGAGTACTGTGTCCAGTTCTGGGCACCACAGTTCAAGAAGGACACTGACAAACTGGAACATGTCCAGAGGAGGGCAACCAAAATGGTCAAAGGCCTGGAAACGATGCCTTATGAGGAACGGCTAAGAGAGCTGGGCATGTTTAGCCTGGAGAAGAGGAGGTTAAGGGGTGATATGATAGCCATGTTCAAATATATAAAAGGATGTCACATAGAGGAGGGAGAAAGGTTGTTTTCTGCTGCTCCAGAGAAGCGGACACGGAGCAATGGATCCAAACTACAAGAAAGAAGATTCCACCTAAACATTAGGAAGAACTTCCTGACAGTAAGAGCTGTTCGACAGTGGAATTTGCTGCCAAGGAGTGTGGTGGAGTCTCCTTCTTTGGAGGTCTTTAAGCAGAGGCTTGACAACCATATGTCAGGAGTGCTCTGATGGTGTTTCCTGCTTGGCAGGGGGTTGGACTCGATGGCCCTTGTTGTCTCTTCCAACTCTATGATTCTATAATTCTATAATCAGTTTCATGTGATCCCCACACTAGCCCTCCTCTGGTGTCACAGCCATGAAAGGGCAACATCTAGAAAAGGGCTGTAGGGGCCTATCCCTGTCATCAAATGGCTCCCTCTGGATTCCCCCTGTCCTTGTATAACTTCTGTCTGCAGCAAGGGACATTTTGTATCTGTGGAGGCTTCCTGCTTATTCAGAGAATGCTGTAAGACTTAATTACAGGAGTAGAAAAAGTTTCTTTCTTCCCCGAGATCTTGCAGGAGCTCAGGCCTAAGAGCAGAAATACATTTTGAAATCGGCTACCTTTCACCTGCCACAACGAATTTTTATTTGTCCCCGTTCAGAAAACTGGACTTTGACCAGGGAGGACCTCATTCACTACTTGCAAACAGAAGAATAACTTTTCCTCCCGGGGTTGTCATGAGGGGAAGCCCAAGGAACTGCAAGCCTCTTTGCAAGTTAACTGATACCAGTTACAGCTGCCTTCAGTCAGCAGTTTTGTCTTGTGTTTTTATGTTATGAACTGCCCTGAGGTCTACACTATAGAAATCAAATAAATAAATTTCGGATAAATTTCACCCTTCTTTGTAGCTAGCTGCTCGCCATAAGCCTCTAACGAAAAAAGCTCAATGTTAGAATCAAGAAAGCAAATTCAGAATGCGAAATAAAACGACATTTACATCCTGGTGATCCTCCAAGGACCACACCACATGCCCCCACTCCCCATTTTACCCTCACAACAATCCCATGAGGTAGGTCAAGCTTAGAGAGATCACGATTGGCCCAAATTCACCCACTGAGCTTTGTAATAATATGATAATATAACAATAATAATTTATTATTTGTACCCCGCCCATCTGGCTGGGTTTCCCCAGCCACTCTGGGCGGCTTCCAACAAAGACCAAAAATACACTAAAATGTCACACATTAAAAACCTCCCTGAACAGGGCTGCCTTCAGATATCTTCTGAATGTCAGGTAGTTGTTTATCTCTTTGACATCTGACGGGAGGGCGTTCCACAGGGAGGGCACCACTACCGAGAAGGCCCTCTGCCTGGTTCCCTGTAGCTTTGCTTCTCGCAGTGAGGGAACCACCAGAAGGCCCTCAGAGCTGGACCTCAGTGTCCAGGCAGAATGATGGGGGTGGAGACGCTCCTTCAGGTATACTGGGCCGAGGCCATTCAGGGGTTTCAAGATCAGCACCAACATTTTGAATTGTGCTCAGAAACGTACTGGGAGCCAATGTAGGTCTTTCAAGACTGGTATTATGTGGTCTCGGCGGCCGCTCCCAGTCACCAGTCTAGCTGCCGCATTCTGATTAGTTGTAGTTTCCGGCTCACCTTCAAAGGTAGCCCCACGTAGAGCGCATTGCAGTAGTCCAAGCGGGAGATAACTAGAGCATGCACCACTCTGGCGAGACAGTCTGCGGGCAGGGAGGGTCTCATCCTGCGCACCAGATGGAGCTGGTAGACAGCTGCCCTGAACACAGAATTGACCTGCGCCCCCATGGACAGTGGTGAGTCCAAAATGACTCCCAGGCTGCGCACCTGGTCCTTCAAGGGCACAGTTACCCCATTCAGGACCAGGGAGTCCCCCACACCCGCCCACACCCTGTCCCCCAAGAACAGTACTTCTGTCTTGTCAGGATTCAACCTCAATCCATTAGCCGCCATCCATCCTCCAACCGCCTCCAGACACTCACACAGGACCTTCACTGGTTCTGATTTGAAAGAGAGGTTTGTAGCAGCGCGGGGATTCGAACCCACACCTCCACAGCCTTCTAAACCTCCTCCTAACTCCCACACTCAACAGGCACTGAGGGGCTTTGATTCCTGAGGCCTTTTGGGGAAGAGGAATCACTTTGCTGGCCCCAAGTGCCTCGGTAATTGACTGGATGAGAGCCAACAAACTGAAGCTCAATCCAGATAAGACAGAGGCCCTGTTAGTGAGAGGTTCCCTAGACCGGATGGCTGGGAGATGGCCTGCTCTTGATGGGGTTACACTTCCTCTGAAGGAGCAGGTTCGCAGCTTGGGGGTCCTCTTGGATCCTTTCCTGTCACTTGAGGATCAGGTGGCCTCAGTGGCCCAGCGTGCCTTCCATCAGCTTTGGCTGGTGGCTCAGCAACGCCCCTCTCTGGACAGGGATAGCCTAACTACTGTTGTCTATGCTCTGGTAACCTCAAGGTTGGATTACTGCAATGCATTCTACGTAGGGCTGCCTCTGAAGACGGTTTGGAAACTTCAGCTACTGCAGAATTCAGTGGCCAGGTTGCTCTCCAGAGCAAGACGGTATGAGAATATTACACCGATCCTGGTCCCACTGGACTGGCCACCGATTAGTTCCCGGACCCAATTCAAAGTGATGCTTTTGACCTACAAAGCCTTAAATGCCTCAGGATCGCAATACCTCAAAGACTGCCTCTCTCCATATGAACCTACCCGGTTCCTGAGATTATCTTCTGAGACCCCTCTTCGTGTGCCTCCTCCTCGGGAGGTCAGGAGGGTGGCAACACAAGAACGGGGCCTTCTCTGCAGTGGCTCCCCGTCTGTGGAATGCTCTCCCCAGGGAAGTTCGCCTGATGCTTTCATTATACACCTTTAGGCGCTAGGCAAAAACGTTCCCTTTTAACCAGACCTTTGGTTGACCTGATGGGACATCCTGTATCCTTTTAAAATGTGGCTCTTTGGGGGGGGGGGTCTTATTGGGCTGTTGTTTTTATTTTGATTATGTAGATTGTGATTTTATTCTGCGAAACGCCCTGAGACCTCCAGGTATAGGGCGGTATATAAATTCAATCAATAAGAAAAAAATTGACCTTTTCCTGTTAGGCAAAGATCATAAGACGACCCGGACAGTCGCCAGATTCTGTGTACAGATCTGTAGGCACAGACCATCCCCTGACCCAAACTAGTTTGTTAAGAAAACCCCCAAACTCGGTTCCATGGGCGACTCTGGGTCATCTCTCTGCGGTAGCTTATCTTAAAGTTTTAAGTGTCTATACGCTTATCGCATTTATAAATTTTAAATTTATTGTTGTGCGTTGTTTTAAATGTTTGTTTTCCTTCTGGGATTGTACCCCTAAGTGTGTTTTATAAGCTGGTCTTTGACCGTAATAAATTATCTACCTACCGTATTTTTCGCTCTATAGGACGCACCTTTTCCCCTCCAAAAATAAAGGGGAAATTAAGTGTGCTTTTTATGGAGCGAATGCAGGCTCCTTGGCTTCAGCGATAGCAATGCGAAGCCTCCAAAGCGCAGAGGGAGCGCTCCCCCCGTGCTCTGGAGGCTTTGCGTTGCTTTCGCTGAAGCCTTCAGAGCGCAGAGCGAGTTCCCACTGCGCTCCGCAGGCTTCAGGTTCCTTTCGCTGAAGCCAGGAGAGCAAGACTCTCCTGGCTTCAGCAGAGAGGGAGAGCTGCGCAGCGCCCCTTCAGCGAAGCGGGAGGAGAAATGGAAGGGGCTCCGTATCTCCTGCCGCTTCGCTGAAGAGGCGCTGCGAAGAGAGGGAGAGAATTTTTTTTCCTTGTTCTCCCCTTCTAAAACAAGATGCATCCTATGGTCCGGTGCGTCCTATAGAGCAAAAAATACGGTATCTATCAATAAGAAAGCAAGCAGCAAGCAGCCACCGGACTGTTTTCACTTACAGGCTGCAGAACTCACCTGTCTGTGTATGATTTGAAGCAGGTCTTGGAAACGCACATCCCGCAAGATGCTTTCAGGGTCCATTTTTTTCTCCGCCACTAGACGGGAGAGTCGGGAGATTATAACGGCCGCTTGGTTTGCGTTGACGGCGTAAAGCTCCTCCAAGTGCAAGAGATCCTCTGCGGTGGACGCCGAGTTGATGATGTCCTCCAGCTCGCTGCGTTCAGGGGGGGCCCTGTCCGCCTGCTCCTTGACTGAGAGTTTGTCTGTGGGCCTCGAGAGGCTAAAAGCAGTCAACGGGGCGGAAGGGGTTTGGGGCGGCCCTCTGGCCATCACCATCTTGCTTCCCGCAGACAGGATGTGAGCTCGGGCGCACAAGGGGGATGAGAGCCTGTAGAGCCGATACCAGCGGTGCAAGAGCTTGGCAGCCATTTTGTAGCAAGGCCCACGGGGAGCGAGGAGGAGGACGAAGGGAAGGGGAACAGCGCTGGGCGGGCATCAACTCATCTCCAAGGAGCTGGATAAGAACAGGGAGAAAAGGTGAAGGCAGCTCGTGAGGACTTTCCATAATTTATTGATAAAAATATTTGTATACCACCATGTCATGAAAGGGACGTGGGTGGCGCTGTGGTCTAAACCACTGAGCCTCTTGGGCTTGCCGATCGGAAGGTCGGCGGTTCGAATCCCCACGACGGGGTGAGCTCCCGTTGCTCGGTCCCTGCTCCTGCCCACCTAGCAGTTCAAAAGCACACCAGTGCAAGTAGATAAATAGGTACCGCTGTGGCGGGAAGGTAAATGGCGTTTCCGTGCTCTGCTCTGGTTCTCCAGAAGCGGCTTAGTCATGCTGGCCACATGACCCGGAAAAACTGTCTGCGGACAAACGCTGGCTCCCTCAGCCAGTAAAGCAACACCCGAGTCGTCTGTGACTGGACTTAACTGTCAGGGGTCCTTTATCTTTACCTTTTTATGTCATGAAAAAATACATCAAAGTGGTTTACGGCAATAAAAGCATAAAGGTAAAGTGACCCCTGTCCATTAGGTCCAGTCGTGACCGACTCTGGGGTTGCGGCACTCATCTCGCTTTATTGGCCGAGGGAGCCGGAGTACAGCTTCCGGGTCATGTGGCCAGCATGACTAAGCTGCTTCTGGCGAACCAGAGCAGCACACAGAAATGCCGTTTACCTTCCCGCTAGAGCAGTACCTATTTATCTACTTGCACTCTGACGTGCTTTCGAACTGCTAGGTGGGCAGGAGCAGGGACCGAGCAATGGGAGCTCACCCCGTCGCGGGGATTCGAACCGCCGACCTTCTGATCGGCAAGTCCTAGGCTCTGTGGTTTAACCCACAGCGCCACCTGCATCCCAATAAAAGCATAGAAAACTGTTAAATGCAGACATTGATTCGCCACTGGCTTCGGTGCAAACCGAGCCAGGGTGCAATCCTGTACTCATTTGCCCAGAAGTAAGTCCCTCTGAACTCAGCGAGACGTTTTCCTGATTATGAATGGATAAGATTGTGCTGTCAAGATTCTCGAATGGTGGCAACAATCAGCCACGGGACTTACTGAGGAAACATTGATTGCTGTGTCAAAATACCTGTCCCCCCAGGGCTCAAAGCATTAAGAGAAAATTGATGCGATTAACCCAACCAGCAGATTACAAATATGGATTTTGAATTAACAGAAGAGACCCTCAGCGAAAAGGACTATTATGCTCCGAGTGCTAGCATAGGCAGATCAAATGGAACAATTACTTAATTGCGTAACAGCAGAGGTTTCCTGAGGGTGGAAGAAGAATGAGGTCAGGGAGATCTTGGGCAGTGGGTCCAGCAATACAGCATGCATATACAGTGGTACCTCGGGTTACATACGCTTCAGGTTACAGACTCCGCTAACGCAGAAAGAGTACCTCAGGTTAAGAACTTTGCTTCAGGATGAGAGCAGAAATCGTGCTCCAGCGGCACGGCAGCAGCAGGAGGCCCCATTAGCTAAAGTGGTGCTTCAGGTTAAGAGCAGTCTCAGGTTAAGAACGGACCTCCGGAACAAATTAAGTACTTAACCCGAGGTACCACTGTATTAAGATGCGCATATGGGGACTGGATTCTTCACATGTGCATCAAGAAGGGAGCATCTGATGGCTATTAGAAATGTCATATGCCTAGGCTATTGGATTTCTCACATTTTGCATACCACGAACCCAACACTTTTAAGCCCAGCCTTGCCGCCCTTTGGCTTAGAAATGCAGCTGTGCTTGCTTCTCAGGAGGTGGGTTTCGGTGCTGCATATGCTGCCGTTCTTACACTTCTACAGATTCATACCATACACCTGGTCCTAACTTTGGCTGCTTCTCATGTTGGTGGAATACTAATACTACTACTACTACTACTAATAATAATAATAATAATAACAATAACAATAATTTATTATTTATACCCCGCCCATCTGGCTGGGTTTCCCCATCACTCTGGGCGGCTTCCAATCAAGTGTTAAAAAAGTACAGCATTAAATATTAAAAACTTCCCTAAACAGGGCTGCCTTCAGAGGTCTTTTAAAGAGAAGATAGCTGCTTATTTCTTTCACATCTGAAGGGAGGGCATTCCACAGGGCAGGCGCCACTACCGAGAAGGCCCTCTGCCTGGTTCCCTGTAACCTCACTTCTCGCAATGAGGAACCGCCAGAAGGACCTCAGAGCTGGACCTCAGTGTCCGGGCAGAACAATGGGGGTGGAGACGATCCTTCAGGTATACAGGACCAAGGCCATTTAGGGATTTCAAGGTCAACACCAACACTTTGAATTGTGCTCGGAAACGTACTGGGAGCCAATGCAGATCTCTCAGGACCGGTGTTATGTGGTCCCGGCGGCCACTCCCAGTCACCAGTCTAGCTGCCGCATTCTGGATTAATTGCGGTTTCTGGGTCACCTTCAAAGGTAGCCCCACGTAGAACGCACTGCAGTAGTCCAAGTGAGAGATAACTAGCGCATGCACCACTCTGGCGAGACAGTCTGCGGGCAGATAGGGTCTCATCCTGTGTACCAGATGGAGCTGGTAAACGGCCACCCTGGACACAGAATTGACCTGCGCACCCATGGACAGCTGTGAGTCCAGAATGACTCCCGAGCTGCACACCTGGTCCTTCAGGGGCACAGTTACCCCTTTCAGGACCAGGGAGTCCCCCACCCCCGCCCACCCCCTAAGAACAGTACCACTGTACAGCACAAGAGTAGTTTTGTTTTTAACTCTAAGGAACTAGTATAAAAAAGGCTGGTGTACAGTCATATAATATGCAATGTCATTTGGCTTGTCAGACCGACTCAGGAAACTGAAGCTGCTAATGATGGTTAATATCCACAGTAGGGACTTGCCGCCCTACCAGGCCATTTTGGCAAAGCCTCGCCACCACATCATATGAGAACATAAAGCCCTGAATATCTTGGGACCAGTTTACCTACGAGATCGCCTTACCCCACATGTGCCCACTTCGATTAGCGTACTGGGCACTACTGCAGGTGCCCTAAAATACTCGTTCAGCATCTGCAAGAACTCAAATGGTTAGTGTGGCAGCACCTGCACTTTGGAACTCTCTGCCTATTGACAGCATCTTAAAAAGCAGAGACATCACCTTGCCGACAAAGGCCTGTATAGTTCAAGCTATGGTTTTCCCAGTAGTGATGTATGGAAGTGAGAGCTGGACCATAAAGAAGGCTGATCGCCAAAGAAGTGATGCTTTTGAATTATGGTGCTGGAGGAGACTCTTGAGAGTCCCATGGACTGCAAGAAGATCAAACCTCTCCATTCTGAAGGAAATCAGCCCTGAGTGCTCACTGGAAGGACAGATCCTGAAGCTGAGGCTCCAAGACTTTGGCCACCTCATGGGAAGAGAAGACTCCCTGGAAAAGACCCTGATGTTGGGAAAGATGGAGGGCAAGGAGAAGGGGACGACAGAGGACGAGATGGTTGGACAGTGTTCTGGAAGCTGCCAGCATGAGTTTGACCAAACTGCGGGAGGCAGTGGAAGACAGGAGTGCCTGGCGTGCTCTGGTCCAGGGGGTCACGAAGAGTCGGACACGACTAAACAACAACAAAGCCTATTGACAACAGGCCAGACTTCACAGAACTCTTTTCAGCACCTGCTAAAAAACATTGCAATTTAGACAAGCCCGCGCAGGTGCTTAGAAAGTACAGGTACTTTTAATCTGTTTTAGTATTTTGTGTGTTTTAAAGCATGGCTGTGATTATTTCCCTCAGTTTACTTGCTTTATCTTCTTGCAAACTGCTTTGAGGTTTTTTTAAAACAATCAAGCGCTACATAACGTTTTATTAAATAATAAATACATAAAAACGTGACTTCAGCTGCGGGGCAAGTGAAGACACAGCTGGGCTGAAAGAACTCCTGATCAACAGCACAGCACTTTGCAAGCCCTGACAAGCAGCTAGTTGTTGGTGCTGCCTTTGATTTCAAACTACATGGGCAAAAACTGGTCGCCTGGTATCGCTGTGATGTCAGGTGATTGACAGGTAAGTAGCCCCACACATCTGTCAAACTTGGCCTACCGGAGTGGGGGAGATCAGGACTCACTGGCCAATTTCAATTCCCCGTTCTGACTGATAGGATATGCTGCAGATGCAGAACTCCTGAGTTCAAAATTCACTTTTGCGGTAAACTCCCTCCCAGTTCCCCAGCCCTATTTGGTCCTGCTGTTTGCGTGGAAATCCCACATGAGCAGAAAAGCAACCTCCACCCCACACATCCCTATCCACAGCACAAGTCAGACAGAGGGCCTTCTTGGTAGTGGCACCCACCCTGTGGAACACCCTCCCATCAGATGTGAAGGAAATAAGCAGCTATCCTATCTTTAAAAGACATCTGAAGACAGCCCTGTTTAGGGAAGTTTTTAATATTTAAGGCTGTATTGTTTTTAACACTCGATTGGGAGCCGCCCAGAGTGGCTGGGGAAACTCAGCCAGATGGGTGGGGTATAAATAATTTTATTCATAATAATATTATTATTCTCCTGCAAAAATCACAACTATATTGCACAGGAATTTCACTGGGTCAAAGGTGGGGCACCCCCCCTCCAGACTTCATTCTCCAACTTTTGTGCAGTGACAGCAGTTGGGGCACATGAGAAAGAGAGAGAGAAGAGGGAGAAACTTTCCATGTTCATCCCCACCACCTCTTCCCCCACATAGGATATACGCACAACCCCCCCCCCCGACCCAGATAAAGGCTTCCCTCCCAGCCTCTCCCAATGCGCAACACGCGAGTCCTGCCACCAGCCAGCCTCGCAGGGTCGCTGGGAGGAAGCCACTTTGCGGAGTGGCTCCTTGCAGGACTTGACATCTTTCCGCAGGGCCTGCAAGACAGAGCTGTTGCGCCCGGCCTTTGGTTTGGACTCAGTCTGACCCTTAAGTTTCTGATCTATGGGCTTCTATTAAAATGAGGCTGCATTTTAAATTATATTTTAACCTGTATTTTAAATTGGGTTTTTTATTTATTTTATTTTTTATTGTAATTTTACTGGTGTAAGCCACCCTGAGCCCGGCTCTGGCCGGGGTGTAAATAAAAAATTATTATTCTTATTCTTATTATTACAGTGGTACCTCAGGTTAAGTACTTAATTTGTTCCGGAGGTCCGTTCTTAACCTGAAACTGTTCCTATCCTGAAGCACCACTGGCCTCCTGCTGCTGCTGCGCCGCCGGAGCCAGATTTCTGTTCTCATCCTGAAGCAAAGTTCTTAACCTGAAGCACTATTTCTGGGATAGCGGAGTCTATAACCTGAAGCGTATGTAACCCGAGGTACCACTGTATTTCCATGTTGCTTTTTTTTGCGCGCGCTGCTGTCACCAGAGATCAGCGCACCGCTGCCTTTTGCGGAAGGACAGGCGGCACCAAAGCAATGCAAAGCGAGTATACAATTGTATGATACTTTGGTACTGTTATAGTGAGGCTATTATTGGACTGACATTGAAAATTAATTTAAAAAATGATATATCTATATAAAGAGAGCATAGGGGCAGCGGGACGGGCTGAGGCCCTGGAGGGGAATGCGATGGCGACAAGGAGGCCCCGATCCCCGCAAGCCAGGAGGGAATAAAGGGGGGAGGGGGGGCGCCCCCCCAAAAAACCCGGCAGCCCCTCCCCCAACCCCCCAACCCGTGACAGGCCGGTTTCCTGCCCCGCCCCCTCCTCTTCTTCCTCCTCCTCCGCTTATCCATTATTCTATTTTAATCGTTCTCGGTCCTCACCCTCCCGCGGCTTCAGCTCAGGTTCTGGGCCGCCTGACCTCAACCGGCTGCCCGCGCGTGCACTGAGGCGCCGCCAGAGCGCCGGGAGAGGGGAGCGTCGCGCGCCGATGGCGTCACTTCCGTCGCGCGCGACGGATCCCTTTGAAAGGTGCACCGTAGACTTTTTTGTCGCAGAGGTGTTTTCCTGGTTGGGGGAATCGATTTTTAAAAAGTTTATTTATTCAGTGGGACTTGCTTCGGGGCGGGGTACAAAGTTGGTAAATCAACATGTATTCTGAGGATTGGGCTGCAGGGAAATATTTCACACAATACTCCGTCGGTGTTTCCAGTCAGAATTTGCAACAAGTGTTTTCCATAGTGTTTTTCCCTATTTTCCCTAACATAATGTCACAATGTATGGTTGCATTGTAGCCTTATGAGGCTTTGGAACCCACATCCCTTATCCTCAGGGAATCTGTTTTTCCCGGCCAACGCACCAAGAAATGTAGCCTTAGGAGGCTTTGCCCTCGGGTGGAAAAAGTATTGCGCCTGGGAAAGGGAAGTGGGAGTCAACAGACACTCAAGGAATAGTTTCGGAGAAAAGGCTTTTATTTCTACCATCCATGAACTGGTAGAAGGAGCAAGTGTGATAGTTCACAAAAAGCATGCACGAAGTTCACAGTCATGTGCACAGAGGATATATACCCCTTCCAGTTCCCTCCCCTTTCTCCTCCTTCTTCCAGGAGTCCTGCCCCATGAGTTCCTCTGAGCATGAACAGAAAGCTGTCTTGGGACTCTTGTGGACTCTGGCACCTTCCCAGGAAAGGGATGGAAGGGTGAGGAGCCTGGTGGTTCAGCAGGTCCAAAGATGTTGCAACTAGAATGAGATAAGATTCAGTTCTCAGGCCTGAGTATTCTTGGCAATGACAGAGCCTATTCATTAGCCTTTAAAAGTAACATTTTGCCTATGCACAGCATCTTGTGATAGAGCAGAGGAAAGCAGAGAAAAGCTGTTTTGGATTTTTAGAAGACAAAAGGAATTCTGGACAGTTTTGAGGCCTGGGGTGATTTCACAGACAGGATTTGGGTATCCTGTCCCCTCAGCATAAGTTTTGTTTAAACTAAAGCAAAAGGTCTGGAGAACTGTGATTTAAACAAAACTTGATACATTCCCTAGTTCATCTTGCTTTCTTAATCTTGCAAAAAAAAACCACCCCACAACCCTTCCCTGCAATCTTCCCCTTTAACTGATTAAACTTTGTTCTTTATAACATTGTTGCTGATACGGAAGGGGGGGGCATGTCTTCTTCACCTTCTTCTTCGCTACAATATATCCATTTATTTCCAATTGTCAATGTCAAAACGGACTAAAATCTATAAAATTCATAGAAAATCAACGTGCCAATTTGCTCAATTTCTCTAGGACTCCATGACACCTCCCCTGTCCTCCATAATCCCTCAAGCAAGGTGTCAAGACCCTAATCCTGTCAAATCGCTCTGCCAAGCCCTTCCTCCGGGCGATGCCAGGTGACAGACTATGCATACATGGACCATTGTCTTCTCAGGATGTGCTTATCTGCGCATATCTCCAGCTCTGCATATTCCCAACTCCCTCCTCCATATGTTAATCCGGTGTAACCCAACCTCTTCCTAATGTATTCGTGATGTAATCTGTGTAACCCAACCTCTTCTTAATGTATTCATGATGTAACTGGGATGTATTTTGCACTGTATTCTGGGACATGGAGGGAAATTTCAAAAGTTCATGTCACCCCTTTCTCGCTGTTCAATCTCGCCTTGAACCTGTTGCGCAATAAACTTGGATCTGCTGCAGTTTGCTCCTGTCTCCGGCTGAGCTCATTTTCTTCCGCAGGGACCCGCGGACTTAGTCCGACGAGCTGGGTGGCAGAGTAGCCCCGCACCCAGATTTTACCGTAACATTGCTGTGCACCTGTATTGAAGCTGCTGCATGGAACTGTACTAAAAGCTGGTTTGTTGTTGTTTAGTCGTTTAGTTGTGTCCGCCTCTTCGTGACCCCCTGGACCAGAGCACGCCAGGCACTCCTGTCTTCCACTGCCTCCCGCAGTTTGGTCAAACTCATGCTGGTAGCTTCGAGAACACTGTCCAACCAAAAAGCTGGTAGTCTTTTTAAATTAATAAAAATTGTGCTCTAAAAAAACAACAACAATACTCCATCAGTGTAGTAGAGCTTTCATCCCACTATATATAAAGGTCTGGGGATTTCTGTTTCAGTGCATCTGGAGAAGTGTGCATGCACACGAAAGCTCAGACCAAGAACAAACGTAGTTGGTCTTGAAATAAAAAATTTATTGCCTCCCCAAGGGGTCCCTACCTCAGAAGGAGGACCGGGACCGCGGAAGGAGCATGATTGGAGGCTCCGTACCGGTTGGGGAATGACAGAGACCACACCAGGATTTGGAAAAAGCAAAGCCTGATCTTTTATTGGACAAAAACAGAAAAGGGGAAAAAACTGTTGCAACAGGGTCCCCGCTCACTTAATGAAACAGAGTGAGACCTCGAACGAAAGGACCGCCTTGACTCTTACACCTTTTGATTTCCATACAGATCAATAGCAGCGGAGGTGGGAAGCGACATAAAATGGCGTGAAGAGTGGATTAATATAAGGTAAGTAGGATGTTGTCTTTGTCCATGGAGTTTTCTTGGCTCCTGCTCCAGGTGGATCACGTTTGGTCAAAACTCTCCACTATGACCTGTCCATCTTGGGTGGCCCTGCACGGCATAGCTCATTTCCATACATCACTACTGGGAAAACCATAGTTTTAACTATACGGTCAATTTTTTAATTTATATATATGTTGCGTCAGACCAACACGGCTACCTACCTGAAGCTTTCATCTCAGTCTTTAAAAAACCCCTTCCATCGTGAGAGCTCAGAATATGGCTACCCAGACCATGCGGTAGGCTTCTACTCAAAAAGTGTCTCTATGGGCGCCTCCCTTCCCTTCTCTCATTCCTGTGGCCCAGGCCTATTGGCTACTGAGAAAGGAAGACCGGAAGGCCCGCCTTCGCCATCTTTACTCAGGGCATTAGGGAGCCTGTATCTCCCTCGTTTCCATAACAGCCGACCAATGGTGGTTTGGAGGCGGGACCTTTGGTCAGCTTGAGTTACGGGATAGGGGGAATAGGAAAGTAGGCGGGGAGGGGTGGATAAGCCACACCCCCAGAGGCGGTCCAGTGCTATAAATAGGAGTGTCAGGCGCGGTTTTCTCCATTTAATAAGGGATTGTGGGGCTGGTGGGTGGGTAGGGATATTTAAAAGGCGGTTGGCATGTTACGGGCTATTTTTTCTGTTATAATTTTCCTGGTAGTGAAGCTGTATGCTTATCCAAGGCTGTGGGGTGACCCAGTAGTGTGGTCATGACCTCTATTTCCAAGCAACAATGTCAGTATTTTATTTTATTTTATTTTATTTTAGAAAGCTCACGCCTTTCCCTTTCAACAATTTTGAGGCTTCCAATTTTTTTTTAATTTTTTTTTTAGGAAAAAGAAATTTGGCAAAAGGCATAGGGAGCCAAATGAACCTGCTAGAGAAGAATTTTGGGTGCCTATATGCTTTACCTTAAATTTCAAGGTACATCTTGGGCTCTCTTAAATGGATCGATGTACTGTACCTTTAATTTAATTTAATTTAATTTAATTTAATTTAATTTAATTTTTTTAGGAAAAAGAAATTTGGCAAAAGGCATAGGGAGCCAAATGAACCTGCTAGAGAAGAATTTTGGGTGCCTATATGCTTTACCTTAAATTTCAAGGTAAATCTTGGGCTCTCTTAAATTTGCATAGGTGGATCAATGTGCCTTTAGTTTAATAGAGAAGGGAGGCTGGGCATGAGCATAAGAACTGAAATCTGAGTTTGTGGCTTCGGCATGGCACAAACCAACATGGATTTGAAATATAACTAGGGTTGCCACCTTCATTCTGGCAAAACACAGGACCAGGGCTATTCCACATTCCCAGATACTCAAATAACTTTTAGGTGGCTTAGGTTGTGGCAAATGTGGAGATGTGTTTTTGTTTAAATTCACAAAACTTTGCAAAGGGATACCAGTTCAATTTTAAGCTGAGAAGCCTTGTGAAAACAGCATATGCACTCATAGAGCCAAACAGCTGTGCCGTGCTGCAACTTACCTGCAATGTTTTTTATTGCTTTTTGGCCAAACCACTTGGTTTAAATTGGTTTTTTTATAGGAAGTGTATGCTGTTCAGTTATTTGGGGAAATGTTTGTCTTGAAATACTAGAAGCGTAGCTGTATTGTTCGTTAGAGCAAAAAACACTGCTGGGGTTGGAACTTTTTAATAGGCAAGAGTCTGCTTCAAATGCCTCTGAATAATTTGCTTTATTTTTTACTTTACACACAATTACCTTAAGCAGCTTCAGGTCCATAAGAAACAAAACTTGTATGCTGCAAAGTCCCAAAGAGATTTCCAAACTTTAATCAAATGGTTTCTACTAGATCTGTCTCGGAAACACTTTGCTTTCATTTTCTTAAATTGAGAGAGACTGGCTTACCACTTCTCCTACGTTAAAAGATTTGGGCTTTTCTTCATTAAGGATGGTTCATTTTGTATTTTTTTTTGGGGGGGGGGGTATTGACTTAAAATGCAAGGCCCAAATTGGGACAAAGACTTGCTTATTACAGTTGAATCCATATATCAACAAATTTGGGTGTCGCCCCTTTGGAAAAAACACACCCAAAGGTGTGCTGGATAATTTTGGGTGTTTGTTCTGCACCTGCAACTAGTTAAGCATGTGAAATACTGGAAATACTATATATTACAACTGTACGTAACCTATAAGCTGCGGAACTGCATTGTACTGTCAGTAAAGGGACTGAGTCTACCCAAACAGTCTGGTGTTTTTCTCTTTCATTGGCTCACTTCACTGGTGTGTTTGAATAGGCACTCTGCACATGCTCCAACAGCTGGAAGCTGAACCACATAATTATTTATACCCCTCCCATATTGCTGGGTTTCCTCAGCCACTCTGGGCGGCTCCCAGCAGAATATTAAAAACACAATAAAACATTAAACTTCCCTAACCATGGCTCTCCCATCGTAATTGACATCTGCATACGTTGCAGG